GTGTATATGGTTTTATTATAAAATGTCAATTTTTAATCGTTTATAGATAATTAATTTTACACAATTTCAGCATTTATGAAATTTATATACATTAATGCAATACTATTCTATGTCAGTATCATTTTTATTGAATTTTTTTTTGGCAAAACATGGTGTGTTTCATTTTTTTTTTCAAAACTCACTCCTTTTACATAAATTTCCATTTAAAATCCTTAAAATTCTGACAACCTTTATTTTTTTTGTGGCAGAAATTTTTCTTTACTTCAAAGCAATATAACAACAAAATTTGAAGAAATTCTACTGAGAAATGGCGACACAATTCTATTACCTTAAGAAAACCGATTATAATTTCTCAAATTTATTGACACAGGGGGAATAACTCCTTCAGGTAAATAATGAAATAGTAATACGAAGGCAAGAAAAGCTAAAACTCAAATTTTATATTTTGAGATTGAAAATGTATTCTTAATATTTTTTCTTGCATGATGGAAGAGCAGGTAGTTATAAATTATATTAACCTCACCTAAGAAACCTAACTTAGAAACCTAACTTAGAAACCTAACTAGATAAGAAACAATAAGATATATGTTAGTATAATATAATATATTGATTCCACCCCTGAAAACGATACAAAACCTTTAATTTCACGCATTGATAAAAATCAAACTACCTGCTACACACAAACTGTATAATCCAACTTCTGAACCATTAAAGACACGTAAATCTTAAGCAACAAATTAAAAATTACAAAAAGGTTTATATTAAACCAGATCGATTTTTCCATTTTTATATCAGTCTTTGGTTGTTTAGCCATCAAAGTAACAGTTTACATAAACTGTACTCCATAGTAGGGAAGACATGCGCAATTGAGGTAGATGTACGTTATCAAATACAGGAAACAGATCTTAAAAGACACTCACATTACAAATGGTCAGGGGCAGTAATTAAAACGTCTTACACTGCCAAACTTCTATTCCACCTAACCGCCTTGTGTAGCAAACAATAAAAAGACAGAATTTGCATGGCGTGATACAACCACTACCGACCACTCGAACAGTAAAACAATGGAATTACAGTACAATCGGAACGTCCGTATATAAAACGTAATTATTTAATACTCCGGAAATACAGGCGATATGTAAAACAGACGACTCGTGTTACAGCAATTGCATCTCTTACAGTGTACAGTATGTTCAGGCCAATACTACTAGATATTAAAAACAAAAAATTAGATTAACACAAACAGTCCCCGCGACTTTTGTTTGAAGTTACATTATGTTAATTGGTCACCTTCCGTATGCAGGTCATTCGCACTCCACTTTCTCTCTCATTTACGCACAGGGATAATCCTTGAGGGGACCATGGGGTCATTGACCCCTCAAAACTAAAATTAACCCCTCCGTGTTCCAATTTTCTTTAAATTTTATATAGAATGTCCCCTCTTTATTTTGATTGACAAACTTTTGTTTAAAATGGCCAGCTGCTCTCAAATTCCAGTGTTTTCCCCAATTACACGTAACAACATTGTCCTTATAAATTATCTGTACATTTGATCATACTGTAAGATTATTAGTCCCCTACCGTTGAAATCGGGGGAACTGTAGGTTTCCTCTCCGTCCGTCTGTGGACGTACGTAACACCAATGTTTGTCAGCGCTCTAGCGGCTTCATTCCCTGAAGGATTTTGATCAAACCTCACAAAAATACCAAGGACAATAATATCTCGGACAAGCTTGAGTTGCAGGGTTGTTAGATCAAGGTCGAGGTCGCCGTTACTATATTTAGAAAATCATTGTCAGCGCTCTAGCGGCGTAATTCCTTGAGGGATTTTTATCAAACTTCACACAATTACAAAGGACCATAACATCTCGGAAAAGTTTGAGTTTCAGGGTTGTTGGATCAAACTTCACACAATTACAAGGGGCATAATATCTCGGACAAGTTTGAGTTTCAGGGTTGTTTGGTTAAGGTCAAGGTCACCATTACTTTTTTTTTAGACAATCGTTGTCAACGCTCTAGCGGCTTTATTTCTTGAGGGATTTTGATCAAACTTCACACAATTACAAAGGACAATAACATCTCGGACAAGTTTGAGTTTCAGGGTTGTTTGGTTAAGGTCAAGGTCACCATTACTATTTTTAGACAATCGTTGTCAACGCTCTAGCGGCTTTATTTCTTGAGGGATTTTGATCAAACTTCACACAATTACAAAGGACCATAACATCTCAGACACGTAGGCTTGTTGAACCTAAAGATCATCTGCTTTATATAACAAGGATACTGAGTATTGCTAAAGCAATACATGTCCCCTATCGGCCCCCGCTAGCTATTACACTGTAATGATTTATAAAAACGGTGCCCTTTAGGGTTAATTTGGGAAAATGAAAAGTATACAATTAGCTTGTAACTGATTTTAATGTAATAACAATACAAGAAATTGTAATGTTAGTATTATGAGAGGAATTATATAAAGAAAAATGATTGACAACCCTGAATCTCTAACTTGTAACGGTGACCTTGACCCAACAACCCTGAAACTCTGTGGTTTGATATAATCGACAGTAAAACTACAATCTGTATATGATGTGATAATTACAGTACTACAACTACTATAATTATGTAAATATCATTTGATAGTTCAATTGCTGCGTGTAGATAATGATTTACCGTTAATACTATTTAGTATTAAGTGGCCATTAATGGTCATTTGAACAGACCTAAAACTTAAAATCGCGTAGGCCGTTAATATGGAAGAGATGAAACGCAAATACGTACATTTCATATAATAATTGTAACAACAAGGGTTACAATGCAAACCGCCCGTCAATAGATAAAAATTAATTAAAAAACAACAAATTAATAATATGCCCAAAAGTACGGCGTTGATTTATTTCGTGAGTATAGATGTACATATAAATAAAAACAGATTTTTAGTTTCCCTGCATATTTCACTTTTATTTACATATATTGAACTGAAAGTGGTATTCCCTGTCACGTGTTTCACTTCATACATTTACAGTGAAGATCAACATCCACTCGTCATGGCGGAAGGAGGGTCCCCTCCAGGCGCGGATTTAGGGGGGGGGGGGGGGGGGGGGGGGGGGGGGGCACACCCGGCCCCGGCCCCCCCTTTTGGCGGCGGACTGACCTTATCCAGGCCGGCCCATAATGATCTGATCGGTCGGGAATGGGAACATATTAACATTTTAAAATGCATCAAATAATGTACGGAGCTTGTATAAAAAAATCTGGGGCTACGCCCCACACATCCCATACGGCATCCTGGCAAATATTGTGGGTTTCCGTTATCTGATATTTTTACTATATTTTCTTTATTAAAACAATATTTGTTGGCATCGCTACGCTCGTCGACTTTGTATCTTGACCCTAAAGTGTGTTTTTTATTTTACCACCTCCGCAAAACCCCAAGTTGCAACTTGCAACGCTCGGCGGAAATATACTAGCATAAGTTGCATAATTATATTATTAACCGCTCGTTACAGATGATCTGAAAATTAATACTTTTTATTGTAACCTTCCTAACCGCCCGGGCGATAGTAATCCTATCATTATACAAGAACGATAAAGGTTTTTTTCGGCTGACAATATTATGTGTAATCGATTAAACATATCCACTCAATATTTTGGTATTATATATATTGTTGGAACTGTTTTAACTATCTTGTATGTACAACATAATATCTCATTGTGGTACTTATAGCTTACCTTCGTGTACGTACAAGAAAGTTTCTTCACACAGCATACTATTGTGTACGTAGTAATAAGTTGTACGTACCAGAATGACATGATATACTGTACTTACAAGTATGATAATTTTAAATTAAATTTAAAAGTGATGCGTATGTGCCTCCTAAGTTGTACCATTTTAACCAGATAGCTTAGCAAATGTACCACCGTTGGTAATATGCACGCCCTTACATGAGTTAATCAGCGTGGACATTTCAGATATATCATTGTCTACACTAGTGAATTAGTCAACAATTATAAAACGCGAGACTATATCAGGGGCGGGTCCAGGTGAGGGCGTAATAGGCGTAAAAAAATGTTTTTTTTTTTTTTTATCGTAATCTGCTAATATTGTATTGAATATGGCAATATCATATTCATTAATTAAAGACATACTCTGATAAAAAAAAAATGTCAAACCATGACACTTCAACTATAATTTATACATGCTCTAAGTCAGGAACCGTTACATTAGTGCATTTCACAATTATTTTATGTTTTTTAGCAAAAAAAAAGGTCCAAAACTTTTTTCGCCTCGCTCCGCTCGGCGACAGATTTTATTCTACGCCCCCTCTTTCAAATATCCTAGAAACGCCCCTGTATATAGCTAGTGCCCTTGGGTGTCGCACTGATTTGAACTTACCGTTTGTTTACCAACTTATTGATGCTATGAGTAACTCATTAATTAAACAGCAACGATGTTGTGGTGTTATTTGTTCTTTTGTACAACAAACGTACAATGTCTGAAGACTAGATTTATATTTTGACGGTCCTCTCGTATCCCCCTTGCGGGCGGGACGCCAAATTAGGTAATAATAAACAAGTCCCCTGTGGATTCATACATTTGTCATCACCAGGTTGCCCCTATAATAATACCATCTGACTTCTAAAACACGCTGTTGATATAGAATTTGAACCGAAACTTAAATTTTCTTTCCAATACACAAAAAAGGGCTTTGGGCCATACTTAAAATATGTTTTTTTCTTCTTGTTAATTAAACATAAAACCAATCCTCAGAACACGGGAAATCGCTTCTGAGACGTTCTAGAAAACACATTTTTTTGGGGGGAGATCCCCCAAAAACCCCTTACGGGGAGGGGGTCTGTACCCTCCCCCTCCTCGCGCTACGTGCTCGGGCTGCTGCCTTTCGCAGCACACCGTTGACTATTGAGAAAAATTTATCGGCCCCCCCTTTTAGGAAATCCTGGATCCGCCCCTGCCCTCATGTCTCTGTCGATAACCCTAAACCAGCTATGGACACCCACCTGTTAGATTGTCCGATCTGTCTAGAACAGCTGCACCAACCAAAGTCGCTCCCCTGTCTTCATTCTTTCTGCCAGAAATGTCTGTCCACCTTCATCACCAAGGACCCGTCAGAGAAGATGGCGGCGGCAACCTCCTTTCTGTGTCCTGTTTGTAGGAAGATCACACAACCGGTAAATCTTTCCGAAGGTAAGGAAAAATGGGCCCAACAATTTCCAACCAATGGTCTGATTAACAGCCTTGTAAAGGTCACGATTGATGAGCTGAGGTTTTGCAAGCCTTGTGAGAAAAAAGGAAAAATTGGGATTCCTGCATCAGTGTGGTGTGAAACATTGAACATAATGTTTTGTGATACATGTAAAGTCGATCATCATGATTTGGTTCACGAAGGATGTGAAACGGCTAACTTATCGAAACGTGCTGAAATAATGCAACGACAAGATCAAGTCAGATGTGGAGAACACACAAAGAGGATGACTTACTTTTGTGAAGACCATCAAAATCTTGGTTGTAGTAGATGCATCACCATAAACCACAGACGATGTGATGAAGTGACAACAACACAGGAGTACTATGACAAACTGAAAAGCGACTCAAGACTGGATCACTGGAAGACATCACTGCAGAAAACCGTTGAAGCAATCGAGTTACTGATCAAAGAGTTTGACGAGCAACTTCAAATCATGGCGAATGACCAAGCAACCGGATTAGAGAGTTTAAAGGATCTAAGGCAAAAGATAGACACACGTCTTGACGCCCGACAGAAAAATATCAGTGATAAATTGATATCATTCTACAAAGAAGAGAAAGAGATTCTTCAGATATCCATTCAGAAATGTAAACGACTGATGTCTACCATTCAAAATACAATCACAATGTCTGGGAATGCGGTTAAAAGCAGTGATAATGTCAGAACGATCTTGTTGTATCAGAGAGGTAAAGCGGAATTGGAATCTTATAAAAACATGGTAACAGACATGAAGAAATCGTTTACCTCAGTCAGAATCAAACACATTGTTGACCCCAGTTTTCTCAGTTTGGATGAGGGCATTTTACTGTCATTGGGAAAAGTCACAATAGAAAAACAACCAAGACGACTGCCTTACGGAACAACTCATATGTTTACTCCATTGCCGGATTGTAGAGTGAAGGAGGCAGGGAAGTTTAATATCAAATCTTCCTCAGACAGCTCAGATTGCTGGGCAAGGGAAGTCCAGTCTTACGACTATATACGTCATCAAAATAGAGTCCTCAAAATTAACCCTGTTGTCAAAAATACAACTGTCAATCGAAAAGGATATTTGGGGAATTACTCATACAGGTGACACATTCTTTGTGAGTTGTGGGAGAAATGTTTACAGCGTTAGTGAGGATGGGAGTACAAAACAAATTCAAACTTACCCGGCTACCTGCTATCACCTTGCGTGCAATCTATGGACGCAAGAGATTTATGTTAGTCTGTGCAGCTACAAGAAAGGTACTTTGGCCGTATCCAAACTGTCAGACGGTACATGTACATTATGGTGAAGGTCGGTGTCCTGAATTCAACGTACGGCAATTTGTATGTTTGTGAATGGGCTTCAAGCAACGTGGTACAGATATCTACGGACGGAACTCGCATCAGAGAACTGCTGACAGAATCGGATGGTGTGGACAGGCCCAGGGCAATATCTGTGTGTGGGGACAAATTTGTGGTCACAAACGAATCCCCACAGCACAAGAACGAAATAGGCCTATTTCAGCTTTACTGAGCCAAGTGAGTGAGCATTTTGTGAGAAACATATCTTCTGTGCGGACAAGACTAAGATAAGTTTTATGTTTAGTGACAAAACTACAACATGGCCGGATAAGGTTTCAGTATCCATCCATTGCATGAAAAACAGAAAAGGGAAGTGTAGTGGCATATTGACAGGAAAAGAATTAAACTGTACCGATGCAGCTGCCTGGGGTATAACAGTTTACTTTGACCGACTTTTAAGGACAAGGTCATATATGGATTATGTTTTTAAGCAAATTCTTAATACCACAGAGACCTTCGGTGATATTAAACAAGCAGCTATCTGGAATTAAACTAACTAGTCCTACTTTTAATGCAAGGCAAATATGTTAAAAACTTTGAGACCATTAGTGTGTATGAGCTTGCTAACGATCAACTTTGTTAAAAATCAATTTGTACTTTAAATATCACCAATGAGATATGTCAATAGTGTTGACTAGCAGGTGCATGATACATGCTTTATGGGTCTTTTGTTTTCGCTGTCATTGCCTTTGTAATTTATAATTATCTCTGAAACAAATGCCGATATTTTATTTGTACATTTCAAAAACGTGTATGTCATTGATAACTTGAACATATCATAACCAATTTTGTTCAGGATTTTTTATAGTGGAACTCTCTTTGAAAGGAGGTGTACATGTCATGTAATACCAAGCTCTCAAAGTGAGGGGCGAGTTGGTGACATAAGCACAAGGCACATTAATAACAACAATAAAAAGCATCGACATTCATTAAGCAGAAGGTAACAATATCATATTATATAAGTGTTTATCAACCTGCCTCTCTCTGAACCTCGCGTTGTAAGTTTGTCCCTCGGCATTCAACAGTGTTGTCTTGAAGCTGTGTTGAAATTTAATTATTAAAATCAATTATATAGCGAGTATTAGTTCATTTACGAATTATAGCACTGTGTTTCACATATTTTACTGAAAAAGCGTAATACAATAAGGTTAAAGATAAATAAAAACATTTTGAGTACATACAACCAAGCCCAATGAAGATTTTTCATTATGTCCTTTGGGTTAGGTTTCACAAATTTTTAAAAAGCTTTTGTGGTTTTTTAATGGTATTTATCACTTTTCAAATAAAAGCTCTTCATCATTTTTATACGCCCGTCATATTTGACGGGAGTATTATGGTTTGTTTGTCCGTCCGTCCGGCCGTCCCGCGTAAACTTTTGCTTGTCCGGCAATCTCCTCCTACATTTTTCGACCGATCTCTTTGAAACGTGGTATACATTATAATCATGATATGAAGTTGTCTCTCCCTTAAACGAATTTTGATTGACAACTTTTGCAAAAGTTAGTGCCCTTTGTTTATTTCGGTATTTGATTTTTGTCCGGAAATCTCCTCCTACATTTTTTAACGGATCTGTTCGATACTTGTTATACATTATAATCATGATATGAAGTTGTGTCTTTCTTAAAAGAATTTTGATTCGACGATTTTTGCAAAAGTTATTGCCCTTTGTTCATTTCAGTATTTAATTTTTTGTCCGGAAATTTTCTCCTGCATTTTATATAGCATGTCAGTTAACCACACTTAGAATGATGCAGATCTTATTTCCATGTAAGAAAGTATATAACACTATATAGCATTCGACGGGCGTATAGTGTTCCGCCCCGCGGTACTCTTGTTTAAGTATAATCATTGTTGATGTTTCCTAAAACAAGTGAATATCAAATAGCATTATGCATATGGCATCCACACCTTTTGTCCCGCTTTCCACTAAAAATATCGGAAGCAAACATTTTCAGTAAAATATTGTTTTTCGTTTACAAGATATTCATCCATTTTATGTAAATATTTTTACTGTTACACGGTTAAGGTGTCCTTGTAAAGATAATTTCCTCAATCTTTGAAATAAAACTATAACTGTGTTGATGAAATGTTTGTTGTTTTTCAGTTCTTTGAAGTACTGCTATAGACCAGTTGCACCAACAAAACCCTCCTTCACCAACTGCTGATATTAAATGCATGTAAGCATTGGCCACAACTGACTTTAATGGTAAAATATATCAGAAAGGATTGTAATAGCCATGTGTTAGAACTTTACTATCTTTTTAACTCACATTTACGTTGTAAAAAAATAGTGTAAACCCTGTTGTCAGTGAAAGACAGTGTATTGAACTGCGTACAGCAATCATTTATAATGGATGTTAATGTCAACTAGAAATGACATATTCGTGAAGAAACGCGCTTCATGTCGAATATATAGCGATTTGCAATTGGCATACACATTGACAATGATTGGCATCATGCTTATGTAAACAATTGCGGTCCGTCTTCATCTGCCGTCGTCTATTTAAAGTTTAACATTTTCGGTTGTTCCTCCAGAACCAATGAAGAGTTCTTTATCATGTCCTGTCCAAGATAGATACTTTTTGTGCCGATCCGAAAATAAAAGTTATCCGGCTTCTCGTCTGATTATCGGAGACATTTTCAAACTCTTCTCTTCTAGAACGGCTGCAGTGATCGATGCCAAAGTGAATATTATTTTTCTATATAATTTTACAAAGTGTTGTTACGATCGTGCCAATCAGAAAACAAACTAGAACGAGTAAAATAAGATAATCTTCTGGCTCGCGCCATTCGCGTGCCGTCGCCTTACTGTCGTTCAAGTTTGACAAGGAACACCTTCATGGACAAGGATGAATTGTTCTTTCAATGTGGCATTATCTTTTTTGTGAACAATAATTCATCAAAAATTTAGAGAACTTACCATCGTGCGAATGATAATATTACCGAAATGTTAGAATGACACTGCTTCGTCAGAAACAGACTGCTCTAATAGTAATGATTGCTTTCTAGATTAAAACGAATTTTTAAAAACTGCTACATTGTATACTATAAGTAAATAGTATGCAAACATATGCAAAGTGACCTAAACTTGAAGAATCTTTTCATAGTATTCTTTTGTCCATGATAATAAGGGGGCCGCGTTGGCCGAGTGACTGAGGCGTCTGACCGTCTACGATCACTAGCCCCCCATCATATATTTTAAGTGTGCCCATGTAATTCTTTCTTTTGTTCATATTTTACCTTAGTTTTATTGGTATTTCGTTCGGATTACTGTTTTGATGACACTTCGGTACTCTTTTATTTTTGATTGTATACAAATATTGTATATTTTCTATCATAAGTGTCACATCTCTTCGCGATTATTTTTATGACGATTAAAAGTGAATAAGGTAACAGATTTTACTCCAGGTAATTCTTGCTATGAATATTGGAATCAAGTAGTGAAATTTGCCAAAAATCGTTGTCGCATTTGATTTTGAAATCTGAAGAATTACTAGTAAACTAATCTTTACCAGCCATTTATATCGAAATAAATCTACATCAATATTGTTTTAATCATTAAGAATAACAAAAATACAGCGCCTGTAACACTGAACAGAACATTTTTGCTAGCTTCGTCCGCGATCCATTAATGATAATTTACTAAAGAAACATGACATTAATTGTGCAAATTTACTATGTGCATTTTGTGGGGTAAAGAGGTTATTTTGTTTTGTTTTTGGGCAGTAAGGTCTGGGGTGTTTAATAACTATGTTTAGGATTTTACCGTATTCCTTGTGTTATCGGTTTCCGCGCACTTAAGAAGCAGCCGCGATTTCATACTCATATCGGTAGAAAACTGTTGAAATTACGGATGACTGTCAAAGACATGTACACAATCTAATAATGGAAAAAAACTATCAACATAAAACTGTATCTAAAAAAATTAGAACATAACATTTCTCCCGTCGGAAGCAGCCGTCATATGTTTCCGTGTGACTATTTTGATTTAGTTTTCAAAGAAAGATAACTCGAATACACTAAAAAGAAATTCTCCACGGACCGCAATTGTTTACGATCCTCAAATTAATTATCAAAACAAATTTTTAAAAAATTCACATTTTATATTGATTTTTCAATGTGTCAACTTGAACAAATTAATGTAATTTTATAAATTTATTTATTTTATTTATTTAGTTAATAATATAATCTGTTGTTTTGGTGCAGTCATACATCTGTTTTGGTTGATGGTAAGTTATTTCTCATTATATTCTGTTTATAATTGGTGAAAATTGGAAGTTTATTGCATTATATGGCTTACGTTTTATTGCAAACAGTGTTTATCGATATAAGAATCAATGTCCCCTTCGCTCTTCGGAAGTGGAAAAAAATTGGCGAGGTGGGTGGCCTCATTTGCATACGACATTTTCGTACGTCAGACTACAAAAAAGACCGGTTCATAAATGAAATATATCACTGTTTTTTCGTGAATGGGTTCATTTTGAGCAAGCAAAAAAATGCGTTAAGCAAAACTGAATACTTATGCGTGGTCTTTTTTAATCAATGATTAATTCTTATGTCTCCGGACGAACCTCCGGTAAATTTTGTGTCACTTTACAGACGATGGCCAAACGTCTAGAATATCTTTGTGTAGTGTCCAGCAGGTCACGAAGCTACGAGATATAGCTTGATAAAATGGCTGCGCGGAAATACATAACGCGCGGAAACCTATGACTAGACGACTATATACAATATATTTGTATTTTTTCTCCAGGTGAAAAATGCGAAAATCTGAATTTTCTGATATAAAATGCTGTGCTGGCATAAGCTTACATCTAAGTGTCAATCCGTGCAGTTTACTGTAATCATTTAAATAACTTCGGGAAACAAAGACGTAAAATGTTTCAACACACATAATAAAATCCAGTAACTGTTCATATTTGAATTAATCGTCACTTTTTTATGTTGCTTAAAGTGTCCTATCGTTCATTAAACAGACAACTTTTATCATTAACAATATTGAATTAGGACCTAAATAACCATCAATCAATATATAGAATTTGTTACAATTTCCGGATTAATTCTAACCCGTCGTTTCGGTTTTTTATTAGAATGTTATGCTGATAACAAGGGTATGGTACACGTACTGTACTGCCAGAGTTTACAAATGAAATGTACGTCACTGTCGACTTAACTCGGATTTGGTGGTGAGTATCAGATTAAGTTTGGTATCAGTCTACTGTGAAAATAGTAAACGATATGTATATACCGATGATGTCTCACTAAAACACTAGCAAAAGTCCTGTATAGTAGCCAGGCCTGTATGAACCGAAATCGAAAGTACTTTATAATATTGTTAAAAGGGATGGTTACTATTTTGAATAGTTCATATTTTAATGCATTCATTTAAAGAACTAACCACGGACTGTATGCGTGTGACTGGATAAATCTGTCGGCGCTCGATACCGCAGTGATAGCTAAATATAGAAATTGACATTTTTGCAAACGCAAGTTTCCGGCAAAGTGTACGTATACATTTAATCAGGTCGTCGTCGATTAAAGGGAAAAAAAGAAAACAAATAAGATAATGAACGTAATTTGAAAAATGAATGTGAACTCAACCACCTTATAACTGATCACAATTTCGCAACTGTATAGAAGCAGGGGAAATAACTCTTACTGGTAAATTATGAAATATTGATAGACACTGGCACCCAAATGAGGCTCAAAGTTATGTACCACAGCATGCACACTTGCATGTTGAATGTCTACAAGAAGGAAGAAATACTGTAAAGTTTCAATATTTTTTAAACATTCTCAATTTATATTAGACATTGAAGATGTATTCTGAGTATTCATTTCTATTGCATGATAAGAGCAGGAAGATATAAAGTATATTTGTGTAATATTTATAATGGTTAATGACTAAAAGGACAGTACAACTAAAGGATGTATATAATTGAACAGTACAAATATACTACGTACATAATTTGACAGTACAACTACAGTGTGTATATAATGTGACAGTACAACTATAGTATATATATAATTTGACAGTACAACTATAGTATTATATAATTTGACATTACAACTACAGTGTGTATATAATTTGACAGTGCAACTACAGTGTGCATATTATTCGACAGTTCAACTACAGTGTGTAAATAATTTGACAGTACAACTACAGTATGTATATAATTCGACAGTGCAACTACAGTGTGTATATTATTTGACATTGCAACTGCAGTGTGTATATAATTTGACATTACAACTTTGGTATGTATATAATTTGACAGTACAAGTATATAATTTGACAGTACAACTACCGTCGGTATATGATTGACAGTACAACTACAGCCTGTATATAATTTGACAGTACAACTAAAGTGTGTAAATAACTTGACATAACAACTACAGTGTGCATAAAATTTGACAGTACAACTACAGTGTGTATAAAAGTACAGCTACAGTGTGCATATTATTTGACAGTTCAACTACAGTGTGTAAATAATTTGACAGTACAACTACAGTATGTATATGATTTGACAGTACAACTACAGTCGGTATATTATTGACAGTACAACTACAGACTGTATATAATTTGACAGTACAACTAAAGTGTGTAAATAACTTGACATAACAACTACAGTGTGCATAAAATTTGACAGTACAACTACAGTGTGCATAAAATTTGACAGTACAACTACAGTGTATATATAATTTGACAGTGCAACTACATTGAGTATATAATTTGACAGTACAACTACCGTCGGTATATGATTGACAGTACAACTGCAGACTGTATATAATTTGACAGTACAACTATGATATGTATATAAATTGACATTACAACTACAGTATGTATATACTTTGACAGCACAACTATAGTATATATATAATTTGACAGTACAACTGTAGTATGTATATAATTTGACAGTACCACTACAGTATGTATATAATTTGACAGTACAACTGCAATGTGTATATAATTTGCCAGTGCAACTACAGTGTGTATATAATTTGATGGTACAACTATAATATATATATAATTTGACAGTACAACTGTAGTATGTATATAATTTGACAGTACCACTTTATTCTGTATATAATTATAGTGTGTATATAATTTGACAGTACAAGTATATAATTTGACAGTACAACTACAGTGTCTATATAACTTGACATTACAACTACAGTGTGTATATAATTTGATGGTACAACTATAATATATATATAATTTGACAGTACAACTGCAATGTGTATATAATTTGCCAGTGCAACTACAGTGTGTATATAATTTGATAGTGCAACTACAGTGTGTATATAATTTGATAGTGCAACTACAGTGTGTATATAATTTGATGGTACAACTATAATATATATATAATTTGACAGTACAACTGCAATGTGTATATAATTTGCCAGTGCAACTACAGTGTGTATATAATTTGATAGTGCAACTACAGTGTGTATATAATTTGATGGTACAACTATAATATATATATAATTTGACAGTACAACTACAGTGTGTATATACTTTGACACAGTCGGTATATAATTGAACATTACACCTAAAGTATGTATATAATTTGACAGTACAACTACAGTATGTATATAATTTGACAGTACAACTACAGTCGGTATATGATTGACAGTACAACTACAGACTGTATATAATTTGACAGTACAACTATGATATGTATATAACTTGACATTACAACTACAGTATGTATATACTTTGACAGTACAACTATAGTATATATATAATTTGACAGTACAACTACAGTGTGTATATAATTTGACAGTACAACTACAGTCGGTATATAATTGACAGTACAACTACAGACTGTATATAATTTGACATTACAACTATAATATGTATATAACTTGACATTACAACTACAGTATGTATATACTTTGACAGTACAACTATAGTTTATATATAATTTGACAGTACAACTGCAGTGTGTATATTATTTGACAGTACAACTACAGTCGGTATATAATTGAACATTACACCTAAAGTATGTATATAATTTGACAGTACAACTATATTATGTATATAATTTGACAGTACCACTTTATTCTGTATATAATTTGACAGTGCAACTACAGTGTGCATATTATTCGACAGTTCAACTACAGTGTGTAAATGATTTGACAGTACAACTACAGTGTGTATATACTTTGACATTACAACATAGTATTATATAATTTGACAGTACAGCTACAGTGTGTATATAATTTGACAGTACAACTACAGTGTGTATAAAATTTGACAGTGCAACTACAGTGTGTATATAATTTGACAGTGCAACTACAGTGTGTATATAATTTGACAGTACAACTACAGTGTGTATATAATTTGACAGTACAACTACAGTGTGTATATAATTTGACAGTACAACTACAGTGTGTATATAATTTGACAGTACAACTACAGTGTGTATATAATTTGACAGTACAACTACAGTGTGTATATAATTTGACAGTACAACTACAGTGTGTATATAATTTGACAGTACAACTACAGTGTGTATATAATTTGACAGTACAACTACAGTGTGTATATAATTTGACAGTACAACTACAGTGTGTATATAATTTGACAGTACAACTACAGTGTGTATATAATTTGACAGTACAACTACAGTGTGTATATAATTTGACAGTACAACTACAGTGTGTATATAATTTGACAGTACAACTACAGTGTGTATATAATTTGACAGTACAACTACAGTGTGTATATAATTTGACAGTACAACTACAGTGTGTATATAATTTGACAGTACAACTACAGTGTGTATATAATTTGACAGTGCAACTACAGTGTGTATATAATTTGACAGTACAACTACAGTGTGTATATAATTTGACAGTACAACTACAGTGTGTATATAATTTGACAGTACAACTACAGTGTGTATATAATTTGACAGTGCAACTACAGTGTGTATATAATTTGACAGTACAACTACAGTGTGTATATAATTTGACAGTACAACTACAGTGTGTATATAATTTGACAGTACAACTACAGTGTGTATATAATTTGACAGTACAACTACAGTGTGTATATAATTTGACAGTACAACTACAGTGTGTATATAATTTGACAGTACAACTACAGTGTGTATATAATTTGACAGTACAACTACAGTGTGTATATAATTTGACAGTACAACTACAGTGTGTATATAATTTGACAGTGCAACTACAGTGTGTATATAATTTGACAGTACAACTACAGTGTGTATATAATTTGACAGTACAACTACAGTGTGTATATAATTTGACAGTACAACTACAGTGTGTATATAATTTGACAGTACAACTACAGTGTGTATATAATTTGACAGTACAACTACAGTGTGTATATAATTTGACAGTACAACTACAGTGTGTATATAATTTGACAGTACAACTACAGTGTGTATATAATTTGACAGTACAACTACAGTGTGTATATAATTTGACAGTGCAACTACAGTGTGTATATAATTTGACAGTGCAACTACAGTGTGTATATAATTTGACAGTACAACTACAGTGTGTATATAATTTGACAGTACAACTACAGTGTGTATATAATTTGACAGTACAACTACAGTGTGTATATAATTTGACAGTACAACTACAGTGTGTATATAATTTGACAGTACAACTACAGTGTGTATATAATTTGACAGTACAACTACAGTGTGTATATAATTTGACAGTACAACTACAGTGTGTATATAATTTGACAGTACAACTACAGTGTGTATATAATTTGACAGTACAACTACAGTGTGTATATAATTTGACAGTACAACTACAGTGTGTATATAATTTGACAGTACAACTACAGTGTGTATATAATTTGACAGTGCAACTACAGTGTGTATATAATTTGACAGTACAACTACAGTGTGTATATAATTTGACAGTACAACTACAGTGTGTATATAATTTGACAGTACAACTACAGTGTGTATATAATTTGACAGTACAACTACAGTGTGTATATAATTTGACAGTACAACTACAGTGTGTATATAATTTGACAGTACAACTACAGTGTGTATATAATTTGACAGTACAACTACAGTGTGTATATAATTTGACAGTACAACTACAGTGTGTATATAATTTGACAGTACAACTACAGTGTGTATATAATTTGACAGTACAACTACAGTGTGTATATAATTTGACAGTACAACTACAGTGTGTATATAATTTGACAGTACAACTACAGTGTGTATATAATTTGACAGTACAACTACAGTGTGTATATAATTTGACAGTACAACTACAGTGTGTATATAATTTGACAGTACAACTACAGTGTGTATATAATTTGACAGTACAACTACAGTGTGTATATAATTTGACATTACAACTATAGTGTGTATATAATTTGACAGTACAACTACAGTGTGTATATAATTTGACAGTGCAACTACAGTGTGTATATAATTTGACAGTACAACTACAGTGTGTATATAATTTGACAGTACAACTACAGTGTATATAATTTGACAGTGAAACTACAGTGTGTATATAATTTGACAGTACAACTACAGTGTGTATATAACTTGATATTACAGCTACAGTGTGCATAAAATTTGACAGTACAACTACAGTGTGTATATAATTTGACAGTACACCTGCAGTGTGTATATAATTTGATAGTGCAACTACGGTGTGTATATAATTTGACATTACAGCTACAGTCGGTATATAATTGAACATTACACCTAAAGTATTATATAATTTGACATTACAACTATAGTATGTATATAATTTGACAGTACAACTACAATGTGTATATAATTTGACAGTACAACTACAGTGTGTATATAATTTGACAGTGCAACTACAGTGTGTATATAATTTGACAGTACAACTACATTGTGTATATAACTTGACAGTACAACTACAGTGTGTATATATTTTGACAGTACAATAACAGTGTGTATATAATTTGACAGTACAACTTTAGTATGTATATAAGTTAACAATACAACTGCAGCCTGCCTATTATTTGACAGTACAACTACAGTGTGTATATAATTTGACAGTACAACTACATTGTGTATATAACTTGACATTACAACTACAATGTGTATATATTTTGACAGTACAATAACAGTGTGTATATAATTTGAAAGTACAACTTTAGTATGTATATAAGTTGACAGTACAACTGCAGCCTGCCTATTATTTGACAGTACAACAAGAGTATGTATATAATTTGACAGTTTAACTACAGTGTGTTTATTATTTGACAGTTCAACTACAGTGTTTATATTATTTTACAGTTCAACTACATAGTGTAAATTATATGACCGTTCAACTAGAGCTTGTTTATAATTTGACAGTTCAACTAGAGTCTGTCAATTATAGACGGGGCAATTAGAGGCCGTAGATAAATTGAACAGTACAGCCACAGTCTGTATATAATTGACAGCACAACTAGAGTGTGTATATTATTTTATAGTACAAATAGACAGAGCATGTTTATGTTTTGACAGTTCACCTAGAGTTTGTATATAATTTGTAAGTACAACTACAGTCTCTATATAATTTTAAAATACAACTAGATAAAGTATGTTTATACGTTGGCAGTTCAACTACTGTATGTATATTATTTGACATTGCAACACGATTGTGTATTTTATCTAACTTAACAACTCGAGTCTGTTTGTAATTGACAGTACAACTAAAGTATGTTTATAATTTGACAGTACACTTAGGGGCTGTAAATAAACTAGAAGCTTTATATAATTTTATACAAAAAATAGATCGAGTATGTTTATAATTTGACAGTACACCTATAGTCTGTGTATAACTTGACAGTTCAACTACAGTCTGTATATAATTGAACATTACACCTAAAGTATGTATATAATTTGACAGTACAACTATATTATGTATATAATTTGACAGTACAACTTCATTCTGTATATAATTTGACGGTACAACTACAGTGTGCATATTATTTGATAGTTCAACTTGAGTCTGTATACACTTTTACAGTACAACTACAGTTTGTATATATTCATTTACCGATACCAATATTAAGTATTAAGTGGTCATTTGAGGTCATCTGAACATTCCTTGAAGTTCGACTAAAGTTCTACACGTACGACATTAATATTGGAGTGTTAAAACACTAGTGTGTACATTTTAAACAGTCACTTTGATAAAAAGGAGCCCTGCCAATGAAAATACGTAATTAAAATATGAAAAACAAAATACCCAAAAAGTATGACCAGGATTTATTCGTGGAGTAAAGATGTAAATACAAACATACAGATTTTCATTTTTCCTGCGTATTTCACTTTTATTTACCGATATGGAACTTTAAGTGGTACTCCCTGTCACGTGTTTCACTTTATATATTTACAGAATAGATCAACATCAGCTCATCATGGCGGAAGGAGGGTCCCCTCATGACTCTCTCGATAACCCCAAACCTGCTATGGACACCCACCTGTTAGATTGTCCTATCTGCCTAGAACAGCTGCACCAACCCAAGTCGCTCCCCTGTCTTCATTCTTTCTGCCAGGAATGTCTGTCCACCTTCATCACCAAGGACCTGTCAGGGAAGATGGCGGCGGCAACCTCCTTTCCGTGCCCTGTTTGTAGGAAGATAACACAACCGGTCAATCTTTCTGAAGGTAAGGAGAAATGGGCACAACAATTTCCAACCAATGACCTGATTAACAGCCTTGAAAAGGTTACGATGGATGAGCCGAGATATTGCAAGCCTTGTGAGAAAAAAGGAAAATCTGGGACGCCTGCAAAGGTCTGGTGCCAAGCTTACAACGTCCTGTTTTGCGAGACCTGTAAAGACGAATATCATGATTTGATTCACGAAGACTGCGAGACAGTGGACATATCAAAAGATGTAACCATGCAACAAAAGGTGACACAAGTGGTCAGATGTGGAAAACACGCAGAGAAGATGGATTACTATTGTGAAGATCACGAGATACTTGGTTGTAGTAGATGCATAACGATAGACCACAGACGATGTGACGAAGTGACAACAACACAGGAGTATTGTGATAAACTGAAGAGGGAATCATGCCTGGATCACTTGAAGACATCCCTGCAAAAAACAACTGATGCCATTGAGTTCCTTATCAAAGAGTTTGGTGAACAGCTTAAAACTATGCCAGAAGACCTAGATACCGGATTTAAGAGTATAGTAGATCTACGACAAAAGGTCGACGCACGTCTTGATGCTATGCAGGAGAAAATCACAGATGAACTGACAGCAATTTATAAAACAGAGAAAGAGAATCTTGATTTGACATTGCAGAAATGTGAACGACTGACGTCTTCAATTCAAATCACAATAAAAACCTCGGCAACAGTTATCCAGAGGAACGCCAGCGTGGACACAATCTTGGTGTATCAGAGAGGCATGGCAGAATTGAGATCCTATCGGGATCTGGTGACAGAATTGAGGAAGTCTTTCATCGCTGTCAGAATCAAGCATTCCTTTGACCCTGCTCTTCTGAAAACGAACAAGAACATTCCACTGACCCTGGGGAAAGTCACAGTACAGAAAGAACGTAGAATTCTGCCTGGACATTTGTTTACTCCGTTAGCGGAATGCCGTGTGAAGGAGGTAGCCAAGTTTAACATAAACTCTTCCTCAGACAGCTCAGATTGATGTGCAATGGGAGTTGTTTACCTACCATATGCTCATATCATTGTAGGAGATTTCAACAACAACATTATAAAGTTGTTTACAGCTATAGGGAAATTAGAAGATGAGTTGAAAATTCCTGGATCATTATTTGACATGTGTCGTGTGGATTATCAAACTGTGGCGGTAGCTCTCTCTAATCTTACTGCTATATACGTCATCAAAATAGAGTCCTCAAAATTAATCCTGTCGTCAGAAATTGAACTGTCGGTCGGCCAAAATCTTAGGGGTATTACTTATACAGGTGACATATTCATTGTTAGTTATGGGAGCAATGATCACAGCGTGAGTAAGGATGGGGATACGAAACATATCCAAACGTATCCGGCTCACTGCTGTCATCTTGCATGCAATCCATGGACGCAAGAGATATACGTCAGCCAAAACAACTCAAGGAATGGCGCCGTAGCCATATCCAAACTGTCAAACGGTAAACGTACAGATATGGTGAAGGTTGGTGTCCTGAATTCAACGTTTGGGGTAGATGTTGGTTGTGACGGTAATTTGTATGTGTGGGGGCGGGGTTCAAACAACGTGGTACAGATGTCTGCGGACGGAACTCGCATCAGAGAACTGCTGACAGTATCGGATGGTGTGGTCAACCCGAGGGCAATATCTGTGTGTGGGGACAAATTTGTGGTCACAGACGAATCCTCACAACACAGGAATGAAATATGCCTATTTCAGCTTTACTGAGCCAAGTGAGTGAGCATTCTGTGAGATATGTATCTTCTGTACGGACAAGAACAAAATAGGTTTTATGTTTAGTGACAAAACTACAACATGTCCGGATATGTTTTGAGTATCCATCCATTGCCTGAAAAGAATTAAACTGTAACGATGCAGCTACCTGGGGTATAACAATTTAATACCACATATATATAAATTAATAAATTCATGTTAAGTTTACTTTGACCGACTTTTAGGTCAAGGTCATATGGATTATTTTTTTAAGCAAATTCTTAATACCAAAGAGGCCTTCAGTGATGATATTAAACAAGCAGCTTGCTAGAATTAAACTAACTTATCCTACTTTTTATGTAAGGCAAATATGTTAAAACTTTTATGGCACGTAGTGTGTATGAGCTTGCTAACGATCAGCTTTGTTAAAAACAATTTGTACTTTAAATATCACCGATGAGATATGTAAATAGCGGTTACTAGCAGGTGAATGAAACATGATTTATAAGCTTTTCACTTCCATTGCCTTTATAATTTAGAGTTATCGCTGTGAAACAAATGGCTATACTTTTTTGTACATTTCAAATACTTGTATGTCATTGATAACTTGAACAAATCAGAACCAATTTTGTTCAGGATTATTTTTATAGTGGGACTCTCTTTGAAAGGAGGTGTACATGTCATGTAATACCAGGTTCTCAAAGTGAGGGGGGAGTTGGTGACAAAACCACAAGGCACATTAATAATCATAATAAAATATCGACATTCATTTAGCAGAAGGTAACAATATCATATTATATAAGTCTTTATTAACCTGCCTCTCTCTGAACCATGCGTTGTAAGTTTGTCCCTCGGCATTCAACAGTACTAGTGTTGGCTTGGAGCTTTGTTGAAATTGAATGATTAAAATCGATTATATAGCGAGTAATAGTTCATTTACGACTATCAGCACTGTGTTTCACATATTTTACGAAAAAGCGTATTAAAATTAGGTAAAGACAAAAAAATAAATAAATTGAGTACATAATACCAAGCCCAATAAAGATTTTTCATTATGATCTTTAGGTAAGGTTTCACAAACTTTTAAAAAAGCTTTTGTGTTTTTTTTCATCGTATTTATCACTTTTCAGATAAAGGTCTTCATCATTTTTTTTAAACATGTTCATTTTTGGTGTTTCCTGAAAAAAGTTAATATAAAATAGCATTATGCATATGGCATCAGCACTTTTTGTTCCGCTTTCCACTTAAATTATCGAAAGCAAAACTTTGAAGTAAGATATTGTTTTTCGTTTACCAGATATGAATCCATTTTATGTAAATATATTCACTGTTTGGTTAAGGTGTCTTTGTATAGATAATTTCCGCAATCTTTGAAATATAGTTGTTAATGTGTTGATGATATGTTTGTAAAAGTTTTTCTGTTGGTTGAAGGACTGCTATAGACCAGTTGGATCAATAAAACCTTCCTTCGCCAGTTGGTAATATTAATTCCATGTAAACACTGGCCACGTGGTGGTGTACCGGAGGGAGCGTATGTTGAAGTATCTGCCTCCTTGCGATTTGTCTAGAAATATATAACTTGCGATATGATTTTGAAATGGTAGTTTATTGTAATAAAAAAATTCTGGGGATTAAAACACAGTTATGAAATATATCTAAACTAGCTTGTTAACTTGAACTAATAGTCACTTTTCATATTTTTCTTGATAGAAAATAAAATCATTATAAAACACTGCGGTATTTCTATATAATATCTTGTGATACATGGCAACATTTCCTTTATATCACGAAAAGAAAATTGCATGTAACAACCACCCCTAGTAATTGTACTCCCCTAGCACAACATAATAATTTATTATGATGAATAGTTTTAGAGTTATCCCACTTCTGTAGCATTATCACAAGCTGCTTGTTATTATTCGACAAAATTAAAAAAAAAGGTTCCCATCACCTCTAAATGCTCATAATATGTCAATGTGTGATTGTGTCCCAATTCACGAATTACCATCGATTTCATATATGTTCGGAAGGTTTGGGGTGATAAGATAATGTGGCTATGGAGAGGATTTGGGGCATTGTATGTTACAATGGAGCGACACTGGCATAGGGCGATAATAATGTTAACCACTGTTTGAGACATTGTGACACAACTTTTACGAATAAAAAAAGGAAAACAAGGTTATAATGGAAAAAAATGAGATTGGCATGGAACATCAGGCGTGGAATTTAACCCGAGGTGTTGTGAATTGAAGTAATACCTTGCTGACGGTTTTTATTTCCAATTCTTAACCCCTGTGTTGGAACTTTGCACACTTACATATACGCTGTAAAGAAATAGTGTGAACACTGATTTTTAGTGACAAACAATTAAGTATTCAACTGTGTAAGTTAACATGTATAGTCAATGTTAATGTCATATAGAAATGACATATTCCATGAAACGCGCTTCATGTTGAATATATATCAATTTGCAATGACAATGAATGACATCACGCTAATGTAAACCACTGTGGTCCGTCTTCATGTGTCCTCGTCTGTTCAAAGTAGAACATTTGCGGTTGTTCCTCCATAACCAATGAAGTTATTGACTACAGACGTAGTTGGAATGTTATACTTTTCGTTCCGATCCAAAAATCAAACATGTACGCCTTCGTGTCTGATTGGATGAGACATTTTTCGACTTCTGGATAAAAACGGCTGCAACGATAGACAATAGTAAATTTCCTTTTATGTCGATCCGAGAATCAAAAATTGCCGCCTTGCCCTAATATTCGCCTTTTTTTATAATGGCTTAATGATTGATTGCGATCAGAGTCAAAATGTTCCCAGGACACCGTCAAGTGTTGTTTCTAATAGTACCAATTTAAAAATCCAAATCTGTCGACATGCTCATTGATTGGCCGAGCCATTTCTTCTCCAGATTGACTCCACACTCGGAAGAGGTGTTCCTACTTTTCAGGCCAGTCCGAAAATCAAAGAGGGACAATCTTGTTTGGCTGTGGCATTTTTTCCCGCGTTGGTCTCTGATTTACCGATTCCTTTGTGATCTTTTCTCAAAAATGGCTGCAACGATCGACTCGAAACCCATTCCAAATGTTCCTACTGGGTCGCTAGTTTTTGTTTAAATCCAAAACGCAAAGATGGCTGCCATGCCCTCTGATTTGCTAAGGCATTTTCGCTTTCGTTTTTAAAAACCTGCAGAGATAGAATTTAACCTTTGTATACTGGTTCGGTGTGAGATACCGGTTAGGTGTTTTCACTTGTACTGTCGATATACAAATCTTTGATGAATGTCTAGGCCTCAGACAGGCAGGCAGTTTTTCTTCTTCTGCTAGAACTGCTGCAGCCATTTATGCTATGGACACATTTTCGTGTTGATTTAAGGCACAATCTCATGCGAGTGTAAAGCCCCTAGAGCCCCTTCTGATATCATCGCACTGCTGATAATTGATTATATAATTCTACATACTCGGGCTTCAACCTACCTGTCATCACTCCTGCCTACATACACCTACCCTTATTGACGTCATGTGATATATTCGAAATATTACAGAAACGACATATAACCTTCCCGTTATCCCTGCTATCAACCGTCACCTACCATGTAGTGACGAAATCACAATGACTGCAGATAATAACCTAAGCAACTCCTACCCACACCTCTTGTTATCTACAAATGTACCTACACGAGTTAGCCACCTGTCCGTCCCCGTTCTAGCCGTATATTTCTATCACTACTGACGTCATAACATCACTATGGACACCTAGTTAACACATGTGACGATGGATACAAAACAAATGGCAACCGAACAACTGATTAAATGGCAGTGTTACTGATTATCAAAGCATTGGGTTGTTGTTGTGCAAAGCCTCGGGTCTCCTGCTCAATATATTATTCCTTGGGTTTGAGTGACCTTATCCATACCTCACATCAAGAATGCATTCTATTAATCTCACACCGGTAAAAGTGCGGATACACCTGTGCAGGGTAAGAAAAAACAATTCCCTACATCAGTCTTTCTTACCCAGGACAGCTCTATCTTACACACAGGGAAATGAGAGAAAATATGTATACTACATGTAGCTCCGAGATCCATATATGATAAGGTGCAGTGGCTTTATCACAATTCCAAATTTGTAATGTACATTTGATGGAATAATGGGGTTTATTTTCTACACAAACCAAATATATATATAGTGTGTAGTAAGGAATGCTTATGTCACACAATTTTAATCATATCAAGACAGTGACAAAATCACTCGAAAAGGAGAACTATCGATGAAAATTTGAATAACATGTTGAGGTATCAATGTAATTAATTCGAACACTATCTTACGATGCTGAAACGGGAGAGAAAGAGTGACATGTCAACAGTATACATAGTACATATCGTGGAACCTCGATATATCGGCCATATTCGTTTCATACAAAAGTGACTTAATTGTCGGAAAAACGCTCACATGAAAGATATGTCTTGTGGATATTCCTGTAGAATAATTACATATAAATAATTATCTAATTTCACAGTGTACACGTCTTTAATTAAAGCATACACTGAAGCTCCATAATACCAGTCAACGAAATCAGCCAATCAGTGGCAGAACAGTTATGCAAATGACAAGTATCTGGAATCACGACTATCGTAGTTTTCGTAGTTTGTAAGGGTTGTGGTTGAAGATAACACGGGGAAATTCTCCAAGTAAATAATAATAAATCCTAATTTCATGACATAAAGCTGCTGTGCTGTCAACCGATGGCATTTTCAGTGACAACACGTGAAGTACTTTCAACAAATGATTAAGAAAAATGTTTCTACGTATACTTGTTAAAATCAAGAAACTTTTCATATTTGTATAAATCATCTTTTATGGTTTTTTTTTATTAATTCAATAGACAGACAACTAATATTTTGTTCACAATATTGAAATATTTCGGGACCGAAATAACCATCGATCAATATTTAAAATTTCCGGATTGTTTCTATCCCGTCGTTTCGGTTTTGTATTATAATGTTATGCTGATAACAAGGGGGTGGTACACGCAGCCAGAGTTTACTGATGAATTGCACGTCACTGTCGACTTCATTCAGATTTGGTGGTGAGTATCAGATTAAGCTTGGTACCAGTCTACTGAGAAAGTAGTAAACGATATGTATATACCGATGATGTTTCACCGAAACACTATCAAAAGAGTCACGTGTTAGCTAGGCCTGTATCCGAAATCGAAAGTACTTTAAAATATTGTTATGTGGTTGGAAAATAAATGTTGGCACTGGTCTCTAATTCTTTTGAATAGTTCATATGTTGATGCATTAGTTTACAGAATCATCTACAGACTGTAGGTGTGTGACTGGATAAATCCGTCAGCGCTCGATTCCAAATAGAAATTGACATTTTTACAAACGCAACTTCCCGGTAATGTTACGCAGGATTCAGGTCGTCGTTGATAAAAAAGGAAAAGAAACATAATAACAAAGACAATGAGTGTGAATTGAAAAAAAATTAATGAACGTGAACAAATTCAAACTGACTATCCTTCCTCATATCCAACAGGCTGGGGAAATGAAAACTGATTATAATATCTCAAATTTACTTACACAGGGGGAATAACTCTTACAGGTAAATAGAAAATATACAGCGACAGCGTAATAACATTTTCCCTTTACATTCAAATTGCATAACTATTGATAAACAGGTGTATACAATAAATCAAGAATACTGATACTGGACCCAAGTGAGACTTGCAGTCATGTACCACAGCATGCACATTTGCATTTCGAATGTCTACAGGCAGGAGGAGATATTGTAAAAAAAATGTTTTCTTTTTTTCTTCAAATTTTCAATTTATATTCAGAGATTGCAGATTTTTTCTGAGTATTTTTTACTTGCATGATGGAAGAGCAGGTAGCTATAACGTATACTTACGTAATGTTTCTAGAAACCTAACTAGATAAGAAAAATAAAATAAATGTATTACCAGAAGTATGATAATGTACTGATTCCATTCAGGCCTTTTACTAAAAATATACCAAGAGAAAACAATAGGAACAATTAAGAACGTTATCTAAATGCAAAGGCTGGTATCTCACTTAGTTTGTTTAACACGACATTGTCCAGACCACATATGCATCACAAAATAAACTGGAACCATAAGAGGCACAAAAATATAAAGCAACAAAGCAACAAATAAAAAAAAAAATAAAAAAAATAAAACTACAAGATCGTCTATTTCATCGGTCTTTATACCAGTACCTGGCTAAATAGCCATATAGGTAACTGTTAACATTAACTGTACTCCACAGTAGAGAAGACGTGCACACTTAAGGTAGTCTAATGTAACAAACAATGAAAAGACAGAATTTGCATGGCGTAACACAACTTCTACTGACCACTCCGACAATATAACAACCGAATAACAGTAAAAGGGAACGCCTGTATATGTAACGTATATACATATAATACAACGGAAATACGGTCGATATAATCGGGTCAATTAAAAAACACATTTATCATTTATAACAAACAATCACGCTGAAATATGTCCCTGCTATATTGTTTGATGTAGCATCATCTTCACCACTGTTTTCTGGTCACTATCGGTAAGCAGGGCTCTCGTATTCCATGTTCTCTCTCTTATGCGTAACAACATCCCACTGGTTTTGTTACCTAAATTTTACAACAGCCTGTTCCTTTATGAATTGGGAAAATAAACCTTTATTTGTATTGAAATCAGAAATACATTTCACATTTTTTTGTCATTTTGTGAAAATAAGGCACTTTTAGCTAGGGGAAAAAGCCTGTACTCGGCAGATAAACCGAGCAAAGAAAATCACTGCATCGTACTCATCGGCTATTTATAAATAAGTTCATACAATGAGATAAGTATTTATTATATGAAAATCAGATGTTCTCTAGTACTATTGCATAGATAAGACATCGATCATGAAACAAGAATTAAATCATGCAATCAAGACATGGTCGTTCCTGCCTACTTTGAGTCTTTGTTGAAGATGTGTAGTTGTATTGACAGTACAACAAGAGCCTGTATATAATTTTACAGTACAACAAGAGCCTGTATATAATTTTACAGTACAACTAGAGCCTGTATATAATTTGACAGTACAACAAGAGCCTGTATATAATTTTACAGTACAACTAGTGCTTGTATATAATTTGACAATACAACTAGATCCTGCATATAATTTGACAGTACAACTAGAGCCTGCATATAATTTGACAGTACAACAAGAGCCTGTATATAATTTTACAGTACAACAAGAGCCTTTATATAATTTTACAGTACAACAAGAGCCTGTATATAATTTTACAGTACAACAAGAGCCTTATATAATTTTACAGTACAACTAGAGCCTGTATATAATTTGACAGTACAACTAGATCCTGTATATAATTTGACAGTACAACAAGAGCCTGTATATAATTTGACAGTACAACTAGATCCTGTATGTAATTTGACAGTACAACAAGAGCCTTTATATAATTTGACAGTACATCTAGATCCTGTATATAATTTGACAATACAACTAGAGCCTGCATATAATTTGGCAGTACAACTAGATCCTGTATGTAATTTGACAGTACAACTAAAGCCTGTATATAATTTGACAGTACAACAAGAGCCTGTATATAATTTGCCAATACAACTAGAGCCTGCATATAATTTGACAGTACAACTAGAGCCTGCATATAATTTGACAGTACAACTAGATCCTGTATGTAATTTGACAGTACAACTAAAGCCTTTATATAATTTGACAGTACAACAAGAGCATGTATATAATTTGACAGTACAACTAGATCCTGTATGTAATTTGACAGTACAACAAGAGCCTTTATATAATTTGACAGTACAACTAGATCCTGTATATAATTTGACAATACAACTAGAGCCTGCATATAATTTGACAGTACAACTAGATCCTGTATGTAATTTGACAGTACAACTAAAGCCTTTATATAATTTGACAGTACAACAAGAGCCTGTATATAATTTGACAGTACAACTAGAGCCTGCATATAATTTGACAGTACAACTAGAGTATGTATATAATTTTGCAGTACATCAAGAGCATGTGTATAATTTGACAGTACAACTAGAGCCTGCATATAATTTGACAGTACAAGTAGAGCCTGCATATAATTTGACAGTACAACAAGAGCCTGTATATACTTTGACAGTACTGCTAGAGCCTGTATATAATTTGACAGTACAGCTAAAGCCTTTATATAATTTGACAGTTCAACAAGAGCCTGTATATAATTTGACAGTACAACTAGAGCCTGTGTAAAGTTTTACAGTACAACTAGAGTCTGTTTATAATTTGACAGTACAACTATATTATGTATATAATTTGACAGTACAACTTCAGTGTGTATATAATTAGTCAGTACAACTAGAATATGTATATACTTAAACAATACACCTAAAGTATGTATATAATTTGACAGTACAACTATAGGAAGTATATAATTTGACAGTACAACTAGAGCCTTCATATAAATTGACAGTACAACAAGAGTCTGTTCATAATTTGACAGTACAACTAGTGCCTGTATATAATTTGACAGTACAACTAGAGCCTGCATATAATTTGACAGTACAACAAGAGCCTGTGTATACTTTGACAGTACAACTAGAGCCTGTGTAAAGTTTTACAGTACAACTAGAGTCTGTTCATAATTTGACAGTACAACTACAGTGTGTATAAAATTAGTCAGTACAACTAGAGTCTGTATATACTTAAACAATATACCTAAAGTATGTATATAATTTGACAGTACAACTAGAGCCTTTATATAATTTGACAGTACAACAAGAGCCTGTGTATAGTTTTACAGTACAACTAGAGTCTGTTCATAATTTGACAGTACACCTAAAGTATGTATATAATTTGACAGTACAACTATAGGAAGTATATGATTTGACAGTACAACTATAGGAAGTATATAATTTGACAGTACAACAAGAGCCTGTGTATACTTAAACAATACACATAAAGTAATATATAATTTGACAGTACAACTATAGGAAGTATATACTTTGACAGTACAACTACAGTGGGTATATAATTTGACAGTACAACTACAATGTGTATATAATTTGACAGTACAACGAGTCTATATATTATTTTACAATACAACTACAGTCTGAATATAATTTGACAGTACAACTACAGTCTGTTTATAATTTGACAGTACAACGAGTCTATATATTATTTTACAGTACAACAAGAGCCTGTATATAATTTGACAGTACAACTATAGGAAGTATATAATTTGACAGTACAACTTCAGTATGTGTATACTTTGACAGTACAACTAGAGTCTGTATATACTTAAACAATACACATAAAGTATTATATAATTTGACAGTACAACTATAGGAAGTATATAATTTGACAGTACAACTACAGTGTGTATATACTTTGACAGTACAACTACAGTGTGTATATAATTTGACAGTACAACGAGTCTATATATTATTTTACAGTACAACTACAGTCTGAATATAATTTGACACTACAACTAGTCTTTATATCATACGACAGTACAACAACAGTGTATATAAATGACAGTACAACAAGTGTCTGTATAGCATTTGATAGTACAACTACAGTGTATATTATTTGACAATACAACAATAATCTGGTTAAAATTTGACAGTACAACTATTGTCTGTATAAAATTGACAGTACAACTTTAGTATTATATAATTTAACAGTTCGATTAGAGTATGTCTGTTATTTTACACTTAAACTTCATTCTGTATATACTTTGACAGTACAACTAGTGCATTTATATAATTTGACGGTACAACTGAAGTCTGTATATAATTTGACAGTAAACCTACAGTCTGTATGTAATTTGAGAGTACAACTACTATCTGTATATATAATTTGATAGTACAACTACAGTTTGCATACTATCTTAACCGATACTAATATTAAGTATTAACTGGTGATTAGCGGTCATCTGTACAGACCTTAATGTTCTACATTGCGTAGGCCATTAATATGGGAGAGATGAAACGCAAATACATTGTACGTACATTTTATACAAAAATTGTCATTATAAATGGTACAATGTAAACTGTCCGTCAAAAGATACAAATAAATTAATTACAAAACAACAAATGAATAATTTACTCAAAAGTATGGCCATGATTTATTCCTCGAGAATAGAGGTCAATACAAACATAAAGATTTATATTTTTCCGGCATATTTCCCTTTACTTACCGATATAGAACTTGTCACGTGTTTCACTTTATACATTTACAGATTTGATTTACAACCACTCGCCATGGCGGAAGAAGGACCCCATCAGGACTCTATCGATAATCCCAAACCAGCTATGGACACCCACCTGTTAGATTGTCCTATCTGTCTAGAACAGCTACACCAACCAAAGTCGCTCCCCTGTCTTCATTCTTTCTGCCAGAAATGTCTGTCCACCTTCATCACCAAGGACCCGTCAGAGAAGATGGCGGCGGCAACTTCCTTTCTGTGTCCTGTTTGTAGGATGATCACACAACCGGTCAATCATTCCGAAGGTAAGGAGAAATGGGCCCAACAATTTCCAACCAATGGTCTGATTAACAGCCTTGTAAAGGTCACGATGGATGAGCCGAAGTATTGCAATCCCTGTGAGAAAAAAGGAAAAACTAGGATTCCTGCATCAATCTGGTGTGAAACATTGAACATCATGTTTTGTGATACATGTAAAGTTGATTTTCATGACTTGGTTCACGAAGGATGTGAAACGGCTAACTTAGCCAAACCTGCAGAAATAATGCAACGACAAGAACAGGTAAGATGTGGAAAACATGCAAAGAAGATGACTTATCATTGTGAAAACCATCAAAAACTTGGTTGTAGTAGATGCATCACGATAGACCACAGACGATGTGACGAAGTGACAACAACACAGGAGTATTGTGACAAATTGAAGAGGGAATCACGACTGGATCACTGGAAGACATCACTGCAGAAAACCACTGAAGCTATCGGGTTACTGATCCAAGAGTTTGACGAGCAACTTCAAAGCATAGCGAATGACCAAGATATCGGGTTTAAGAGTTTAATAGATCTAAGACAAAGTGTTGATGCACGTCTTGATGCTATGCAGAAGAAAATCACAGATGAACTGACAGCAATTTACAAAAAAGAGAAAGAGAATTTGGATTTGTCATTGCAGAAATGTAAACGACTAACGTCTTCAATTCAAAACACAATAAAAACCTCCGCAACAGTTAGCCAGAGGATTGATAGCGTGGACACAATCTTGTTGTATCAGAGAGGCGTGGCAGAGATGAAATCCTATCAGGATCTGGTGACAGAAATGAGGAAGTCTTTCATCGCTGTCAGAATCAAGCATTCCTTTGATCTTGATCTTCTCCAAATGGAAAAGAACATTCCACTGACCCTGGGGAAAGTCACAGTGCAGAGAGAACGTAGAATTCTGCCTGGACAGTTGTTTACTCCGTTAGCGGAATGCCGTGTGAAGGAGATAGCAAAGTTTAACATTAAGTCTTCCTCAGACGGCTCAGATTGCTGTGCAAGTGGAATTGTTTACCTACCAGATGATCATATCATTGTAGGAGATTGCAACAACAAGAAGGTCAAGTTATTTACAGCTATAGGGAAATTAGAAGATGAGTTGAAAGTTTCTGGGTCTCTGATGGACATGTGTCGTGTGGATTATCAAACTGTGGCGGTAACTCTTTCGAGTCTGATTGCTGTATACGTTATCAAGGTGGAGTCTTCAAAACTTACCCTGTTGTTGAAAATACAACTGCCTGCCGGACAAGATCTAAGGGGTATTACTTATACAGGTAACATATTCATTGTGAGCTATGGGAGCAATGTTCACATCGTTAGTAAGGATGGTAGTACGAAACATATGCGAACTTATCCGACTTACTGCTGTCACCTTGCGTGCAATCCATGGACGCAAGAGATTTATGTCAGCCAACCCACCTCCTTAAATGGCTCTGTTACTGTATCCAAATTTTCAAATGAAACACGTACAGATATTGCAAAGGTCGGTGTCCTGAATTCAGCTTTCGGGGTAGATATTGATTGTGACGGCAATTTGTATGTGTGTGGGCAGGCGTCAAATAATGTGGTACAGATGTCTGCGGACGGAACTCGCATCAGGGAACTGCTCAGAGTATCGGATGGTGTAAACAAGCCAAGGGCAATATCTGTGTGTGGGGACAAATTTGTGGTCACAAACGAATCTTCAAAGCACAAGAATGAAGTACACCTATTTCAGCTTTACTGAGCAAAGTGAGTAAGCATTCTGTGAGATATATATCGGGACCAAGTTGTGTGGTGTGTTGTTTAGTGACAAATTGCAACATGGCTGAATCAGTTGTGAGTATCCATCCATTGTGTAAAATCAGAAACAGAGCAACTGGCAAGAAAGTGTAGTGACATATTGACAGGAAAAGAATTAAACTGAAACGATACAGCTACCTAGTATATTTATAATTAGGGACCATTCACGGATATACAATAAAATTTCATGTATTAATATATATATAAATGAATAAATCCATGTTATGCTCACTTTGACCGACTTTTTAGCTGATGGTCTTATGTATTAATCTCTTTTAAACAACTTCTTAATACAAAGAGGCCTTGGGTGATGATATTAAACAATGAGCTTAAAGTAACTAAGTCAAGTTTTAATGTAACGTGGACAAGGCAAACATGTTTAAATCTTTAAGACTCGTAACGTGTAACGTGAATTGTCAGCAGCATTGACTAGCAGGTGAGCGATAATGATCGATGTGGTTTTGTTTTCACCTTCATTGTCCTTATAATTTAGCGTTATCTCTGTGAAATAAATGCGTATAATTGTTTGTACATTTCAAATATTAGTATGTCATTGATAACCTGAACATATCAGAACCAAATTTGTACAGGATTTTTATACTAGAACTCGTTGGAAAAGAGATGTACATGTCATCTAATACCAAGCTCTCAAAGTGAGAAGCGAGTTAGTGACAATTCCACAAGGCACATTCAAAACCCAAAAATAAAAAACATCGACATTCATATAGCACAAGGAAGAAATATATATGTTTTATCAACCTTCCTCTCTTGTAACCATGTGTTGAAATTTTGTCTCTCAGTGTTTAACAGTGTTTGTTTTAAGCTTTGTTTAAATTGAATTATTAAAATCGATACTATAGCGAGTAATAGTTCCTTTACGAATTAGAGCACTGTGTTTAACATGGTTTATGAGAAAGGTGTAAACACACGCTAACGAAGGGGAATGTTAATTTGAAGTACATAAAACCAAGCCCAATCAAGATGTATCAATATGTCCTTAAGGTAAGGTTTCGCTAAAACCATAAAACAAATTTAGAGGTTTCTTATCAGCTTCATCACTTTTTGTTCTGCTTTCCACTTCAATTATCGAAAGCAAAACTTTCCATTACAATCCTTGTTTTCGTTTACCAGCAGTTCATCTATTTTATGTAAATATTTTTACTGTTTGGTTACATGGTTAAGGTGTCCTTGTAAAGATAATTTCCTCAATATTTGAAATAAAGTTGTTACTGTGTTGATGATATGTTTGTAGAAGTTTTTCTGTTGTTTGAAGGACTGCTATAGATCAGTTGGACCAATAAAACCCTCCTTCACCAGCTGGTAATATTAAATGCATGTAAATATTGGGCACGACTGACTTTAATGGTAAAATATATCAGAAAGGATTATAATAGCTGTACTTATCATTTTCTTTTAAATACTTTACTGACAGTACAAATGTTTGTTGCAAAGAACTTTTACAACTACTTGGAGTACTTACTGTCAAATCAGCCAACCAACATTCGTTCTATCCACCAGTTTCTATAGGTTTTATGAGTGAATTATAGTCACCCAGAATAACCACAGCCAATGAGAGTGACCGTTACGTCAAAGATTTCAATGATATTTCCTTAACTCCCCACAGCCATTGAGAGTGACCGTTGCTACAAAGACTTCAATGATATTTCCTTTACTCCCCACAGCATATGAGAGTGACCGTTACGTCAAAGACTTCAATGATATTTCCTTACCTCCCCACAGCCAATGCGAATGACCGTTACCACAAAGACTTCAATGATATTTCCTTAACTCCTCACAGCCAATGAGAAAGACAAATACTTTAAAGACTTCAATGATATTTCATTAACTCCTCACAGCCATTGAGAGTGACCGTTACTACAAAGACTTCAATGATATTTCCTTAACTCCCAACATCCAATGAGAGTGACCGTTACGTCAAAGACTTCAATGATATTTCCTTAAATCCCCACAGCCATTGAGAGTGACCGTTTCTACAAAAACTTTAATGATATTTCCTTACCTCCCCACAACCAATGAGAATGACCGTTACTACAAGGACTCCACACAGCCAATGAGAGTGACCGTTATGTCAAAGACTTCAATGATATTTCCTTAACTCCCCACAGCCAATGAGAGTGACCGTTACTACAAAGACTTCAATAATATTTCCTTACCTCCCTACAGCCAATGAGAATGACCGTTACTACAAAGACTTCAATGATATTTCCTTAACTCCCCACAGCCAATGAGAAAGACAAATACTTTAAAGACTTGAATACTGATTTGAATATTTCCTGTACCTACAATCTACCATAGCCAATCAGAACAAAATTAATGAAGCTTAGTTATGGTTTTATTTTATCTAACCTCATATAAAGACTCCATGAGTGTACTATATGCGTGCTTGTATGTGAGCTGGAGGGAGGGTATGTTGATGTAGTTGCCTCCTTGAGATTTGTCTTGAAATATACATAAATGTATATATAGTTTGCGATATGATTTTGAAAGTCTTTTTATTACTTGTTGAACTAATGTTCAAGTTTCATATTTTTGCTTTATAGAAAATAAAATCATTATAAGCCACCCTGCATTTTTACTAATATAGTATCTTGTGATACATGGTAATGTTTTCTGAATATAGTAACAAGAAAAATGCTTGAAATACCCATCCCTAGTAGTTATACTACCCTAGCACAACCTATAATGACTAGTTTTAGAGTTATCCCACTTCTGTAGCATCACCACAAGCGGCTTGTTATTCGACGACATTAAAAAGAATAAGCTACACAAATCCTCTAAATACCCATAGTTTGTACACGTGTCATTGTGTTTCAGTTTACAAATTTCCATCGCTTATAGAGGTTCTCAAGGTTTGGGGGATAATATTATGTGGTTATTGAGAGGATTTGGAACATTGGTAATCGGGCGTCACTGGCATAGGTTGGTGAGAATGTTAACCCCGGTTTGAGACATTGTGACACACTCTTCGTGAAAAAAAAGAAAAATACGGGATTATTTTAGAAAAATTGGGAACTTTGTGAGATTGGCATGAAACATCTGGCGTGGTATTAAGGGAATTCAACCCGAGGGATTGTGATTTGAATAATACTTTGCTGACGATTTGATTTTCTTAACTCACATTTACGTTGAAAACAAATAGTGTAAACCCTGTTATCAGTGACAGACAGTGTATTGAACTCCGTACAGCAAGCATTTATAACCAATGTTAATGTCAACTAGAAATGATATATCAATGAAAGGCGCTTCATGTTGAATTTATATTGATTTGACATTCATATTGACAGTGAATGGTGTCACGCTAATGTAAACCATCACGGTCCGCCTCATATGTCCTCGTCTATCTAAAGTTGAACTTTTTCGGCAGTTCTTCAAGAACTAATGAAGAGATTGACTCGACATGTGATTTCAATGTCCTTTATCATATCCTGAAAAAGATTTTATACTTTTCGTGCCGATCCAAAAATCAAATATGTCTGCCTTTGTGTCTGATAAGCGGTAACGTTTGAAAATTCTTCTCTAGAACGACTGCAGTGATTGACGCCAAAGTAAGTATTAATGTTCTTTATAATTTCCCAAAGTGTTGTTACGATCGTGCCACTCCGAAAATCCAAGATGGCCGCTGTGACGTCTGATTGGATGGGACATTTTTCCACTTATGGATTAAAACGGCTGCAACGATAGACAGTAGTACATTTTCTTTTATGTCGATCCGAAAATCAGAAATTGCCGCCCTGGCCTCTTATTCGCTTTTCGACTTTATCTCAAGAACGGCTGCATTTACTGACTCCAATCTGAGCCCAAATGTTCCTTATAAGGTCACCATCAAGTGTTGTTTCTTACAGTGCCAAACTTGCCGACCTGCCCATTGAAATGCCGAGACTTTTTTTTCCAGGAAGGCATCAGCGATTGACTCCACACTCGTGCCAGTCCGAAAATATAAAAAGGGCCAATCTTATTTTCATTTACTTTATCTCAAGAACAGTTGCAGTTATTGATCCTTGATTTGGTACTGATTTTCTGTACTTATATGAGGCTCAATACAATTTTTTTTCTTCTTTCTTTTTGCTATTCCTTGCTTAATGTTATGTATTAAGGGTAATCCCAACAATCAGTTAACTCGTTGTCATTGTTATCTGACCGATAGGAATGCTGCGTTGTGGGCTAGCACTATAAATTTGGCATCAGAACACCAACATCCCGACTCCAGCACACATACACACATACATTACACATATGGAGGCACGTCCTAAAATGACCTTAGTTGTCAATTGCACGTTTGATTAAGTCTGTTTGTTTGTTGTTTTTATTTCATTTGTATGTTTGTTTGTGTTCGATTGCCTTATGTCAGAAGTCAAACGTCGATAGGAAGTGTATTGATATTTCAATATTTATAATAGGATTTTATGTTAGCGTTTGCACAAATATTTACTGATGGTGTATGAAAAGTAATATCATTCATTAGCTTAAAAAACTTTTTAAAAAGCAGTATGCATATAACATTGATGTCATAAATTGTAAAATACAACGCAATCAATCTGATTGGATAGTTTATTTTATTTCTCAATCCACAGGAGAAAAAGATCATATCTGACAACACGACAAATAACAGCTATGTATTACTATACACTATACATCAAGTATAAAAATAAAAATTGTAAATTTTCATATCAAATCGCTATTGAAACTTAACAATGATAATAAGATAAATTAACAAACAATAACTCGGGTCTAGATGACGCTTCTCCAATTAACCGGATCTTTTGAATAGATAGTCAAAATGTCCCCATTTACATTTCCGCATGCTTCCACATGTGTTTTGGTCTGTTAGCCTTGGACATCCGTATCCTCCATTCACGGGAGACAGAATGACGTCACGTGATCGCGTTTGAATTCCGAAACCACATGTCTTTGAGCATGGTGACCATTCGCTCCACTCCGTTACTGTACAATCTTGAGGTTTACCTACAACAACAAAATACAGTATATTTTAACAGTTCCGTCATTACTGTAATAAAGAACATGTTTGATTGTATCTTTGATTTCAAAAATCTTTAGAATGAAACGAAGCTGATGATCAACCAAACAGTATTTGTTTCAAAAAACAAATAAAAGAGGAAAATTTATCAACAAATGCTTTTTCTTCTCTATTGCACAAATCATCTTATATATCAATTAATAAGAATGATTATTGGCATAATGAAAGTTCGTGATACTATATCCTCACCATTGTTCACTACGTCATTTCCGGTGCCTGTAGATCCAGATACTGCAGTTAGACCACCAATATTCAAACTATACGAATCATCTTCATCCTCTTCCGGATCAAATATCACAACGTTCGGCCCTGTAGGCGATGTATCCAGCTTCCGTCCCCGTCGTCTGTATTCCGCAACTTCCTTGATGACAATATGACCTATTCTCGGAAGTGTTTCCTGTTCCGGGTAAAAGAAGGAGCTGGCTGGATGACTTGGTTTTTTGTTGGTTATCTGGCTGATAGGGTCAGCCGGCATGTTTGGCCAGTTCGGTGATGTGAACGTAAATCCCTGGTCAGTTCCTGCGTCAAGCGGCGCAAGGTCCACGTTAATTTGTTTTCTCCAACGACCATTATGACAGAGATCAAGGGAGGCAACTCCAACGAACCAGTCGGGACTGGGCACGATTTTCACAAGGAAAGACATCTGTAAAAGGTGAAGATAGAAGAGATTAAATTCTCGGTGTCTAAAAAACTGCTAATCACCCAAACAAATGTAAATTAATGATTAAGACATTGAATCGAAAATCAATAATATTAAACATTAGAATATGCGGAAATTGTGATACTGTCTCCCTACATTGGGTTTTTACCTAGGGATGTTCTTCCTATTTCCGTTAAGCAATACACTCCTATGACCTTAAGCAATATCATTTGAATCAAGACCATAGGAAAATAGATTTATCACTCTTTTTTTTTCATCAGAGGAATAGGCAGAAAGACCGTCCTAATAAAAAACACTTTGTTGTGTTGTCTGCTCGACAGCACAGATGGTGTATCATCACTATCACGTTAACGAACTCATTCCATTTATTGTTCACAGGATAAAATATAACATGCTGCGCAAAACGGTAATCTTTACGGATATATTGGATGAGAATTTTACATGTACTGTAATAACTGACATGTACCTTGGTGTGCTGACCGTCTGCCAGAAAGCGGACTGCGGATCGGCCCATCCCACTCTCTATCGGAGCAGCAGTGAACGAGTCGAAGATGCCCCTGTACGCCTGCGCGTCCTGATCCAGCATTGAAGAATCCGCATCCTCTGCAAACGCCTTAACCGCGTCACTAGCGTTCTGGCCCAGTGACCACAACTTGTACGTGCTGTCATGGGAACGACCTGAAATTAAATAATTTAAAACTGTATAAAAGGCATACAAATGTATACAAGTACAGTAATACGGATGGTCACACATATGCAAGTTATAGTTATGTTATAGTTACGTTATAGAGATGTATACACAGTGTCAATATAAGTCAACAACAAGCGTTTAAAAGTCCATTAATTCTATTACTTATTGCTCCTCGTTCAGCTAAAGCACAAAGAGTAACGATGATAGCTTTATTACGAAAGATCCTCCTACCATTACTTAACCAAACAGTTAAAAATAATTCGAAGCTTGGAGAAATGCTTGGATTTTTTTCTTAAGGAGAAAATTTGAAGAAAAAAACTCATGTTCATAAAGTGCCTATAATAAACGTCTATGTTTCTATAACAAAGTAACCCAAAGTATTTTATATTAATTGCTAGCATTAACTAGGAAGCCAAATATTAAAGGTTTTGGTGGGGCAGTTAAATTTTCCTCAGACGAACATTGGCTAAGAGCCAAAATACAGTTTTTTTTGTTTCTTCTTCTTTTAATTACTTAGCATTTTATCATTGGGCGAGTAATTTGTGGCTAAAACGTATTATAATTGAAATGTCTTTGCCAATGCCTAGCTGACAGTGTGGGTACCAAAGTGTGTCTGTCTGATAGTTATCAACCTGTGGGTGTTACTAATGGCACACGTATAACGACTGTGACGTGTTAACGAGGATATCGCACGTGCACCGTTAGGCAGTGCTGATGAATCAGCAGAATATCCTCCCTGTTAATAGCGTTAGGAAATCCATGTCTCTGTTTCTGGGTGTATTAGTTCATAGTTATAACTATAAATCAGTTATAATATATCAGACTTCTCTAGGTATATGTGAGTTCCTAAGTTATAACCCTCGTTGTGTTCCTGTCTGAGAGCTACACACTTACATATGGCTGTTACTGTTTACAGTGAGGAGTTAATGAAGTCCTCTACGTCGTCACACTCTCAAGTCTTAGAGAGTTACAATATAAAGGGGAGGTAATTTGAAATGATAAATATATACCACAAGGAAAGTGTGTGGTAAACAAAGATAGTATCTATATTTTATCCAAGAGTATAAAAAGAAAGCGAAAACAAGTTATCTTAAAAGTATAAAACTGCATTTGTAGATAAAAAGATTCGGTCGGCTCTTGTTTGAAGTAATATGCACATGAAACGTTCCAAAAGAGAATTTTTATACATGTATAAAAAACAGAACCATTGAAAATGCCAAGTAATTACAGTTCTTATCTGATAAATTCCGGTGCGCTTGTGGCCTAAGCACGTGCACGTAAATGTTAAAAAAATAACATGTACCAGACCTCTCAATGATCGGAAATGTTTCTGATTAAGGTTAATCAGGGACAGACATCTTAATGTGTTAAACGTTAATGATACACGGAGATAACGATCACTGACTGTTGTAATGGTCACGTTGAAATGATCGACAGGCTTTCCGTTTCCTATATATTGCTACGTTGAGGTTTATATACATCAGTTTTCTTTTGACTAGATTTGTTTTATAATTGATCTGTAAACAAGACCCGCATTGCCTCGTTATGTCTTTAACAGGTTGTAATAAATCACACTGTTTAAGGTATTAATGTCTTAAAACTCGTACAGAAACAGTCCAATTTTCACCTATTGTTGTATATTCAAGTAAAACAACAGAAGTCTATACAGGTTATCTTGATTTCCGCCCTAAGTAAGTATTAATATGAACCTCTACAGTTATATTAAGAGCTTAAGAAAAGCTCCAACCAATGTCGTATTTTCTTTAAGTAAATTCAATTTAACAAGTCGACTCAGAAAAGTTCAAGAACACTCCAAATCAAATAGAATTTGAAAATATTCTTCTTTTTGTGAAATTATTATGAAAAATCAAATATGCGTCATTTGCTCTGTACGTTTTTATAATTACGACTTTTCCGTATTGTTTATGGTAGGTAGTAATTGTTTATCGAAAGCAATTTTCTTAAACTTAATTTGCTGGACAGGCAAAATGCATGTAAAGAATTGTGTTGATTACATACAAAACATAAATATTATACTTATATGTATAATCGCATCAAATATCTTGTAAAAAATGATTGTTTGTTTGAATATTAATATTGCAACTAAGCAAGAAAATTTTGAAAAATGAACAATTGAAGACTTACCGACGAGTTTTGACCACTGTGCGGGGGGTCGAACACGGGGGTAGAGGCGAGGGAAGGTCTTGGGGGACCAGTCTCCATAAAACGTCAAATTATATTCCGCCAACATCTTTGGCTGACATCGACCACGCCTTTTGAACTTCCTGGGACGGGGTTCCACCACACTGACAAGTACAAGGCCGATAGCAATCAAGCAAAGTATCGCAAGCTGGAAATCCATTTCTCTTGCTTGGATTACAAGGTAGTCTGATTAAGTACTAAATGCAGTTTCTTAATTCTGAGAATTGCAAAACAATATGCACATATTAATCAATTATATCTTTGATTCCGGAAATCATGTAACGTGGTTGTTTCTGTGTGTTAGACGTCCGCGTGTGTTGCTGATGCTGTACGTTATGGTTCATGTCGGGATGAAGAGAAGGCTTATATACTCGGACATCCAGGAGGGCAGATTAACGTATCCAACATATAGGTTAATTGTTTCCCCGCATCTCTCATCTGCTCTGAGAAAGGTTAGACGAGGATAAGGTCAAAGGTCAGCCCTGATATAGTTCACGCGAGTGCTCGCTGTAGCATCATTGTACGGAGACAGATGGTTCTCGGTTAGGGGTTGATAAATAACATTTGGGTAAGGTGGGAATTGTGACGTCATTGGGCTGTATCTCGTTGGGATATTTGCCAGGGAGAAACTTTTAGAGTGTGTTTTGGAGTGGATGTCTTTAATGTATTGTTCAAAGCGTTTTCTTCTCTGTGATTGAAATCAAATATCAGAGCCATGGAAAACATCAACAGGTGTAATGAGTCCTAATTGTTTATTGTGGCGTTTTAATTGGCGAGTGTGTTGTTTCTCTGCACTAGTGTTTAAACCAGAGAAAAGCGTGTTTGGCACTCATTTACTCACAGAGCAATAAACATCTACACTAAAATGACATTAACTAGAGGCATATGCACCTAAGATATCAGATGCACTATTCCCTGCGGCGCGACTCTGTCTTGAACACGCTCAAGTAAAAGCAAAATAGTTTATGATGACGCAGTGTTTTCCCAACTTTAAATTTTGTTTGTGTCTTGTTTGTATGACTTCGGAGACATGTACTGTTGTAAATTATAAAACGTTTTGACACTTTAACAATGTGTGTTGGTACTTCCGCTTTTACCTGCTGTGATAACGATCTATAGACGTGTTCAGAGGAGAGAGGGGGCCACTGCACGTCACAGAGACAAACAAACACTCTGTTATTTATTTGTAGACGTGTGTGATAGGGAAGGGAACGTCTACACGACATAGAAATAACCCACTCGTATAAATAATAAAGATGTTCCGTGGAACATTTGTACAATTTGTTTTGAAGCATTTCATTAACTTAGATACGTTTTCCAATGATCTACACAAGTTCTTAAGCTATAAAAGTTATTATTGTAGTTCTATTTTTTTCTAACGTGAAAAAAGCAATGTTTGTTTCACGTTTATTTATGTAGGCAACAGTAACGTGCAATGGTACAAAGGCAACGTATCTTAAGCGACATTAACTTTTAATGGCATGTAACGTAGGCAACAGTAACATTCAAAGGCAAGGTAACGTAGGCAACAGTAACATTCAAAGGCAATGTAACGTAGGCAACAGTAACATTCAAAAGGATGTAACGTAGGCAACAGTAACATTCAAAGGCAAGGTAACGTAGGCAACAGTAATTTGCAATGGCAAGGCAAGAGACAACATAAACGTTTACAACAGTTACTGTCACAGGGAAGGTTATATAGGCATCTCGACGTACAAACGCAAGACAAAGTAAGCAACGGAAACATGGATATGAAACGGAAAGGTACATATGCAATTGAAACTTACGATATATACCTAGATAATGGTAACGATCATAGGAAACCGTAACAATGGAAACAGTAACGTTTACAACAGTAACGTCGGCAATGTTATACATAGGCCACAATGACGTCCACAGCATAAACATTGGCAACGGTAACGTCGTTAACGGAAACATAGCCAACGGTAACATCGGTATCGGTAACAAAGACAACGGTTACATCGTCAACGGTAAAACAGCCAACGGTAACGTCGTCAAAGGTAGCATAGCCAACGGTAACGTCGTCAACGGTAACACAGGCAACGGTAACATCGGTAATGGTAACACAGTCAACGATAACATTGGTAACACAGACAACGATAACATCGGTAACACAGTCAACGGTAACATCAATAGCATAGGCAACGGTAACATCGGCAACGGTAACATCGGTAACACAGTCAACGGTAACATCGGTAACACAGTCGACGGTAACAACGGTAACATCGGCAACGATAGCATCGGTAACACAGTCAACGATAGCATCGGTAACATAGCCAGCAAGAACATCGTTTTTTTCCGTCTTAAATATTAAATATATATTCTTTATCATAAAGACTACACTGCCAGACTGTAAGATTTCTGTAAGCCAGGAAACGAATTTATTTTTCATATTACAATTGTAGTATTGTGATGCTTCTGATTCCGTGTTCAATTTAAACGAAATCATTATTGTATGAATGTTATGGTTCTTCTGACATTGTGCTGAACAGAAACTAGTTTATTTTCGTTTGATGTGCGGAGAAGAAATTTAGTAAATGAAAAAAAACCCCGATGTATTATTTTTATTTTTTTATTTAGGTCGATCGGCAGTTTAGTCCTGGAGTGTGGGGATGGATACAGATTTTGAGTTGAGTGAGATAGAAAAATATATTAAAACAGGTAGTTTGATATATAGAAACAAAACTGCACGCCTTTACGCAAGTTATTGTGGCGTTCGCTTCATCGCAGCAATGAATCCTCTTCAACGACTGACATGCGATGCATGTTTCTGTACTTACACAAAGTAGCGCCGACTTCAGTATGAATGTATACTTTTACCGACTAGACCTTAGCCAGACGTCTGTTTACTGTACATCTGTAAATAGTATCACAGTAAACAACTGACATACCTTAACGATGTTCGTAAGTCATAGCCCTGTCGCACTGTCTATATAGCATTGTTATAGACCTACTAATGTATGCAGTACTGAAATAGACGCACTAATGCATGCAGTACTAATATATATTCACTAATGTCCCTCTCACAGTTGTAACTATTATAGAATAATCAGACATCATTTATCGGTCTGACTCTCTAACGCCATTCTGGACTGCCCAGTGCTATAACTCATGCTATTATTAGGCGAATTATATTGCTTCGTAACCATTTTATGATATCCCCTTGATGGGACCATAAAGTTTCTTGACCCATGACTTGCACCGGTCTTCAAGGATAGGACATTGCATAAAGGGCTGGCGTGTTACCTCTCCGAACTCACAGGGTTATCTACATGTGCAACAAGTTACCTCCCACTACATTACCTTTTATATTTTTTCACAAATTTAAGAATGGTTTATTTCCATGATTTTTATATCATTGATCTGGTTATTGATAAAATGTGTTGAGAAACAGACCGACCTGTTTAAGGAAAAGTTAACGCTTGCAAATTGTGCGGTTTTACCCGAAAAACATCCCTAATTCCAATTGTATTATCTTGTCTTTAAATCATTTTTAATTACGGATTGGAATGATGTGTGATCACGAAAATATTTGAAATCTGATCAATATTTGCACTGTATTTATTACTTGAAGTGATTCTCTTCATTAACCTACATTGTATGCATGTTATGGTATGGGTATATATATATATTGTATATATTGTATAATATTGTATATATTGTATATATTGTATATATATATATGAACACGGAGGTGCAATCATGATCACGACACAACCTGACGTCCTGATCAGTTAGCGGTGCTTTACTTACTTTTAACTACAATGTATATGTTACATGCCTCCTCTATTCCTATATCTACAGTATATATGTAACGTTGCATTGAGGTCGTTTAGTTTACAGACAACAACACACATATATCTATATCTTTATATTATTTAGTATAATTATGCATGCGTACCGTTAGTTGTGGTTGTTGTGGTGTCGATAAGTTACTGTCTGGTGATGTTGTATACACTTTGTTCTCGGGAAATTTTAAATGAGTTCCAAGAATTGTAACAGTGCTGTCGCTCAAACATAATATTGTCCCTTTTTTCATTATGCAAATTAAATGATTGAGTTGTCATTGTCATTTTACAGTGATGTCTCGGTGTAGCTCTATGACTGGCAGCACTACTATTGATGTGTGGTTTCTATTGTATGTAAATGTGGACTGTGTAATCCCGTAACGCTTTGATCATAATTATTATCACGGAATTAGATAATTTTCTATCTGTGTCCGCGTAATTATAGGGTTATGGTATCATCTGCCAACCACAAACTGAATCGTCAATATTGAATATTAATCTATCATAATATTGAATTTTAGAAACTTTTGTGGAGTAAATAAAGGTTTCTCTCGTAAATCATTGAAACTAATATATAATCGTCATACCAGTCGATCTTCTGGGACAGGTTACTTCTGTCTTAGACCCATATTGATATGTGACCGTGTCCATCACAATCTAGCAAAAGAAATGTTATATTAGAACTGACCGGGCCCATTAGATTGTTTTAAATGAAACCGAGATCATAAAAAGATAAGACTTATTGACAAGGGACATATTAATCCCCGTATTTTTGACAAATACAAACAGGATAACTAGTATTGCTTGTCCTATCCTACTTTCATTTTTTATTGATAATACATTGAAATTGTATGCCAATCCATCCATCAGCCCATGATTTATACCTTCAGGTATTATATTGTTCACCATATTCGGTCAGGATTCGTCACGCCTTCGGCCGCTCGCGACCTGCTCTGCTGGACATACTACAGGTGTATCGATAGGGTGATTGATTGGATAGGGCTTGGACTTTAGATCGCCCCCATTCTAGTCGCATATTTGCTTTAGATGTTTTGTTTACAAAATAAGTTCTGTCATTATCAACATCTAAACAAATTGTCCGTGTATTGTTAGTAAACAAAGACAGATACATCATCACACTGACTAAGTAATAAGTAAATCAGTGACACTTTAAATCTCGGAATCCCCTATCAACACAAACATCAATTGTCCGAAGTGTCTGGACGAGTACGTAACTCGGCTCGAGGCGACAGTGACCGCACGAACACATCATGCACATGTTTGCCGAGACAACCTCTGCGATTAAGATCTCTGATGCTACCAGGTTGATTATTGTTACCTTAGGTAATGATTGGTGCAATGTTTTGGTTGAGGGAATGATACGGTAGGGCACACTCAATCCATCTGTTCGTGACGTCAGAACCCCTGGGGCCAGCTAGCTGGAAACATATTGGAGATGTAACGAGAACAATAGAGGACAAGACAACCATTGTCAGTGACCCCACGGGGCCTCCTTCGTGAAAGTGACAAATTTATTCCAGGGAAGTGACAGGTCATCATTGAAATTGACAGATATCCACAGACAGGTAAAACGTGCGATGATCGAGGGAGAGGATAGTCGACGAGGTGGACCGTGCTGGAGACGTGTAGCTGTATTTACGTTTGTGTAACGAGAGAGGAAAACAGGACTCACATAAGGTAAGCACTTAAAATATATTTGCATTTCTAATCTAATTGGAATTTGTAGAATTAAAGTATCACTTTTAAATGAATTGAATGAAGACCGTTTACCGGGTATTGGGTTCACATGTCCAGTGAGTTTCGAATTTCTGTAGTATTTAGAAGATTTCTTAACCCATTCAATATTCAACTTCAATGAGAAGAGACAAAGTTTTTTTTTTCACTTGTTTAAAAAAAGTAAAAAATATTGCTTTGAAATGCTGGGATATATTGAAGTGAACAAAGTATCCGATTTAAAGGATACCATTTTGGATAGCTTCTCAGACCATGTATATGGGTAGTTTACGACTCGTGGTCTACTTATGTTATTGGTCAGGTATAACGTTAGCCGACATTTATAGCCGATAATCATTTTGCCTTTAATGATTATCTGCTATATTATATACTAGTACACTCATTCATTAAATACAAAATGTTCCTTATTGATAACAGCAAGGCGTAACCGCTAACATGCTTATGTTAACACAATAGATTTATTATTATGTTTTTTTTCTTTCTAACCTTTATTTGCTCACTATGTTTTGTCGCTCCGACCAATTTTAAAGTCAATATTTTGAGCTAACCTTTCATCCGTTATTGTGCACAGAATAAACTTCTACATGTATTGATGTCACCGATATATTCTTGCTTACCTGACCGTATAGTATACATGGGCAGTCTTATGTGAACTGAATCTAAATGTTTGTTTGTCATGGAATCTGCTATTTCTTACATATATTCAATGGAATTAAGTGCATATAAATTTAGAATGTAAACATACGTAGTGAGCAAAGTATTTTTAACATTCATACCGGTGTGAACGCAGATTGGTTACATATTTAATATCAAACCTCAGAATGGATGTTAACCAGTATGCGTTCATACCGACATTGGTGTTCAAAATCTCCGTTCAATACCAATGAAAGCATATATAAATATGGCGAAGGAGACAAATAGAAACAAATTGTACCTTTAATATAATCATTGGCCCGTCGGTTCTGAGTGACAAGTCATATTGTACAAATTTTATACCATTTTTGCAAAAAGCGTTAGATCTAATGATTCCATACCGTCAACTCATGTTTGCTTGTTTCGGAGCAGGGTCCATTGAATCAATGCTATCTTTGTTTAACGATGTCTTGACGGTAATATGGGAAAGGCATGTGAATGACAAGGTAAGCAAATTAACAATATCAATATTTGTCCCAAAACAAAATGATATAAAGATTTTTATTGTAATTTCAGATTACTAGATCGATTCGAGAAGATGGGTATTCATGATTTCTGGCGGAAACTAGGGAAATCTAACACCAAAGACCGAAAACTAGACACTTTACAACACAGTCGCCATTGCTCATCGTGCGAGAAGTATCGGACCTGGACATCGAAATCGAAAGCGTTAAGTTTGCCTCTTTCTGATCTACGGAAGATGAAACAATCGGCAGAATTCGACGAAAAGTGTCGCTGTGAGTCTGTTGATGCGTGGGTGACGACTGTGAACAGGTCACGTGAGCGTGTGGACATAGTGGACAGAGTTCTTCTTGATGACCGTTTGTCGACATTTAGCTCAACAGACCATGTGGAGGAAACAGATACTGAGGACATCGGGGACTCGGAGAGTGATACCGGAAGTCTCCAGGAGTGGAGTCATTGGCGGAAACAGGCAAATGGTCAACTCGTGTCCATGATCCTCAACAGTAAGAGTAAAGACTCTCGTTCCTGGGATTACACACGTAAGGCAATGGACAGCACCGTCATGAATGACGTAATACAGCACGTGAAAGACAGTGGTGTAAGTTCTCCCGAACTAGAAGGGAAACCGTTCATAATGTACGGAATACCGAGGGCTCGACTGGAAAAACGGTGAAAGTCATTGTCTTACGTTGTTGAAATATATTTTTTGTGGAAAATGGTTATGACTCTCGAGGAAAATTTGTCGCAGTGGATCATGTACTGTCTCAAAGATAACAGTTTGGCGAGAAAGTTGGATAAATCTGTATTTTCCAGACTTGTGGCGGTGGACATAGTAAAGGACATTGAGCAACTGTGAAAATAAACTAATGCCAACGTAGAATTTATTCTGACATTTCCGAATCCTATTTATTTCGAGATGTTTTCGGGTTTTTAGCGATCTTCACTCTAGATATTTTGAAAATTATCGTCTCGGAATCCCTTGGTATTTATCGTTATTTATTTGTTATATTATCTCAATAATAAAATGTTAGAAATACACTACTGCAGGATTGTTAAAAGTTTATATAAAAACCTTCTTTTTTTCCAACATCTACGTTAGTTGGACTAACAGGGTCTATTACCAATGTGTGACGTAAACAGACAAATCCCAACCCGAGGGTTTAAAAGTATTGTCCCGAGGGTTGAGATATCTCTCTCAACATTTCACAGGAATGATTGATATTTTGTTCCCCAACACTTTCCTATGTAAAAATATGTTGTAATTGGAATCAAATGCAACACTCCAATGCAATGCCACGTAAAATGTATAACAACAATGATGACGTGACTCTGGTTATGCTGAATAAAGGGATGACGCGATGATGACGTTTTTCAGAATAATAGCGGGTGAAAGTTGTCTTTCCCGTGCAAAAGGATCAATCGACGAGACATCCTCAGCGAAAATATACGGAAATACAGCAGTAAGATGGATTGATAAGATAAAACATAGAAACAACATAGTAAATATAGGTACAATTTAAAAAAACATAAAGTTCTTATCAATATATCATGCATACCATGAAAGTCCAAAAACTATTATAAACATTCTTATAGTGTCTTTCATTTATCATGATAAAAGTAATTCCGTCTTCAAATGTTAGGATTCAGAACTTATGGTATTAGCTTTATCCAATCTGTCAAAAATAGATGAAAAAAAAGTTAACAAAAAAAAAAGAAGTTGTCTTTCCCTAGTTGGGTAAAGACATGTTGATCTTTTTCTGAGAAAAAACCGGCGGGACTGGACCTGTTAAGAAGAAACATTCATCATATGTCTAGCTCTGTTTGATAGGGGATTTACGTCCTCTTAACAACTAAGGTCAGATTATAACGTCTGCCTAGGAAGACAACGCCCAACAGAAAGAGTAGGTATGGATATAAACCCCAAGTGTTGTAACATTGATTTCTTTAATATTCCATAATGAGCTGAAGGATCAGAAGAAAAAGGGTCTAACATTTGTCTTTTCAATCCCGGATAGGATGTAACATTTAGGAGAAAAAGAGTACATCATTATGTAAATAGTGTACGGAGGAATTCTAATCGTGCTTCTAATATTGTTTTATCATATCCAACATATCACCATATAAAAGACTAACACATACGTTTTCTGAGTAAGAAGAACTTGTTTATGAGGATTGTGTGTGTTGATTTTCTGAGACGACTACACAGCTTTCTTCTGCTATTGCTATACTGTTTCTACCATTATTATAGACATGTACCGTGTTTTGTTACTGTTATTGTCATAAGATGTATTCTAAATACTATTGTTAGAGTGTTGTTTTAGTAAGGCACTGGTACAAATGTATTATTAAAGTTGTTTACACTTCTTGAACGTCAACGTCAGTTACCCAGGAACTGTGCTCTTTTTTTCTATTAAACATAATTTATTGACAAGCTGTTGTTTTTATTAGTATTCATTTTTGCTGATTTAGCTACTGGGAATGACACAGGGTGATCTTCAGACACACACTGATCTAGCTACTGGGAATGACATAGGGTGATCTTCAGACACACACTGATCTAGCTACTGGGAATGACACAAGGTGATCTTCAGACACACACTGACCTAGCTACTTGGAATGACATAGGGTGATCTTCAGACACACATTGATCTAGCTACTGGGAATGACATAGAATGATCTTCAGAGGTGATCTTCAGACACACACTGATCGTGATCTTGGGAATGACATAGGATGATCCTCAGACACACACTGATCTAGCTATTTGGAATGACATAGAATGATCCTCAGACACACATTGATCTAGCTACTGGGAATGACATAGAATGATGTTCAGACACACACTGATCTAGCTACTGGGAATGACATAGCGTGATCTTCAGACACACACTGATCTAGCTACTGGAAATGACATAGGGTGATCTTCAGACACACACTGATCTAGCTATTTGGAATGACATAGAATGATCCTCAGACACACATGGATCTAGCTACTGGGAATGACATAGAATGATGTTCAGACACACACTGATCTAGCTACTGGGAATGACATGGGGTGATCTTCAGACACACACTGATCTAGCTGCTGGGAATGACATAGGGTGATCTTCAGACACAAACTGATCTAGCTACTGGGAATGACACAGGGTGATCTTCAGACACACACTGATCCAGCTACTGGGAATGACATAGGGTGATCTTCAGACACACGCTGATCTAGCTACTGGGAATGGCATAGGATGATCTTCAGACACAAACTGATCTAGCTACTGGGAATGACACAGGGGGATCTTCAGACACACACTGATCTAGCTACTGGGACTGACATAGGGTGATCTTCAGACACACACTGATCTAGCTACGGGAAATGACATAGGGTGATCTTCAGACACACACTGATCTAGCTGCTGGGAATGACATAGGGGGATCTTCAGACACAAACTGATCTAGCTACTGGGAATGACATAGGGTGATCTTCAGACCCCCACTGATCTAGCTACTGGGAATGACACAGGGTGATTTTCAGACACACAATGATCTAGCTACTGGGAATGGCATAGGATGATCTTCAGACACACACTGATCTAGCTACTGGGACTGACATAGGGTGATCTTCAGACACACACTGATCTAGCTGCTGGGAATGACTTAGGGTGATCTTCAGACACAAACTGATCTAGCTACTGGGAATGACATAGGGTGATTTTCAGACACACACTGATCTAGCTACTGGGAATAGCATAGGATGATCTTCAGACACAAACTGATCTAGCTACTGGAAATGACATAGGGTGATCTTCAGGCACACACTGATCTAGCTACTGGAAATGACATAGGGAGATCTTCAGACACACACTGATATAGCTACTGGGAATGACATAGGGTGATCTTCAGACACAAACTGATATAGCTACTGGGAATGACATAGGGTGATCTTCAGACACACATTGATCTAGCTACTGGGAATGGCATAGGGTGATCTTCAGACACACACTGATCTAGCTACTGGGAATGACACAGGGTGATTTTCAGACACACACTGATCTAGCTACTGGGAATGGCATAGGATGATCTTCAGACACAAACTGATCTAGCTACTGGGAATGACATACGGTGATCTTCAGACACACACTATTCTAGCTACTGGGAATGACATAGGATGATCTTCAGACACACACTGATCTAGCTACTTGGAATGACATGGGGTGATCTTCAGACACACACCGATCTAGCTACTGTGAATGACATAGGGTGATCTTCAGACACTCACTGATCTAGCTACTGGGAATGATATAGGGTGATCTTCAGACACACACTGATCTAGCTACTGGGAATGACATGGGGTGATCTTCAGACACACACTGACCTAGCTACTGGGACTGACATAGGGTGATCTTCAGACACACACCGATCTAGCTACTGGGAATGACATAGGGTGATCTTCAGACACTCACTGATCTAGCTACTGGGAATGACATAGGGTGATCTTCAGACACACACTATTCTAGCTACTGGGACTGACATAGGATGATCTTCAGACACACACTGATCTAGCTACTTGGAATGACATAGGGTGATCTTCAGACACACACTGACCTAGCTACTGGGACTGACATAGGGTGATCTTCAGACACACACTATTCTAGCTACTGGGGCTGACATAGGATGATCTTCAGACACACACTGATCTAGCTTCTTGGAATGAAATGGGGTGATCTTCAGACACACACTGATCTAGCTACTGGAAATGACATAGGGTGATCTTCAGACACACACTATTCTAGCTACTGGGGCTGACATAGGATGATCTTCAGACACACACTGATCTAGCTTCTTGGAATGAAATGGGGTGATCTTCAGACACACACTGATCTAGCTACTGGAAATGACATGGGGTGCTCTTCAGACACCCACTGATCTAGCTACTGGGAATGACACAGGGTGATTTTCAGACACACACTGATCTAGCTACTGGGAATGGCATAGGGTGATTTTCAGACACACACTGATCTAGCTACTGGGAATGGCATAGGGTGATTTTCAGACACACACTGATCTAGCTACTGGGAATGACACAGGGTGATCTTCAGACACAAACTGATCTAGCTACTGGGAATGACATAGAATGATCTTCAGTCACACACTGATCTAGCTACTGGGAATGGCATAGGGTGATGTTCAGACACACACTGATCTAGCTACTTGGAATGAAATGGGGTGATCTTCAGACACACACTGATCTAGCTACTGGGAATGACACAGGGGGATCTTCAGACACACACTGATCTAGCTACTGGAAATGACATGGGGTGATCTTCAGACACACACTGATCTAGCTACTTGGAATGAAATGGGGTGATCTTCAGACACACACTGATCTAGCTACTGCAAATGACATGGGGTGATCTTCAGACACACACTGATCTAGCTACTTGGAATGACATAGGATGATCTTCAGACACACACTGATCTAGCTATTTGGAATGACATAGAATGATCCTCAGACACACATTGATCTAGCTACTGGGAATGACATAGAATGATCTTCAGACACACACGGATCTAGCTACTGGGAATGACATAGGATGATCTTCAGACACACACTGACCTAGGATGATCTTCAGACACACACTGATCTAGCTACTGGGAATGACATAGGGTGATCTTCAGACACACACTGACCTAGGATGATCTTCAGACACACACTGATCTAGCTACTGGGAATGACAAAGGGTGATCTTCAGACACACACTGATCTAGCTACTCTAGGCATGATATACATTTGCTGCATATGTTGTGGGGAAACATGATTATTTGTTTTTCGAAATTAATCACGCTTCACGAGGTATACATAGAACATAACACAACAGTAAGGATGGTCAGTCCTACGCGCCATTTTTATCATAAGCGACAGTCACTTGGAACTTCGGGTTTGTGCCCCTTACTCATTGTTCTACAGGGGCTCCGAATATTAGCGAAATATGACCGGGAAAAATCGAGCGACTGAGCGGGGCACGGCGTTTTATTTCCCCGGCATATGA